TTATTTCTGAAGCTTAGGCAAGATTTAGAACCAACATCACCACTGAGCAATTTTTCATGTTTCTTCATTTCTTCATTCATACATATGACTTTCAGCATTAAGGTTCTTTTTTGATAATTCTATATTGTTGTATCACTTGCATTTTTTTTTCATTTAGTATGTTGATTTGACAACAATTTTCTTTAGTCATAGTTAATATCTCCACCAAAAGAAACTTTCCAGAAGGGTTTATATTTCTGGAAGAGGTTCCTTAAACTTGTTTTCTACCTCATGTCTGGGACTTAAATCAATGCTGCTGTTTCCTTGCTCCTGACCTCATCATCCTTCTCCCCTCTCTATTTCTGCTCTTCTAGAATGAATTGAATGCATTGGAGGGGATAGCATTGCCCAAATTCCTCTCAGGGTAAGGGAGATGGTGCCTGCCAATAGAAAGGGTAGGAAAAATGTCACTGTTAGCTCTGTGCTCATAAGCAGCTTCCACAAAGTTTTGAAACCTATGCGTTAGACTTTAAATCAAACTGAATGAACCATGTGGTTTCGAAGTCCTTTAATGAGAAGAGAACTGCCTATAAACCATGATTTTTAAGAGATTGTTGACAACATACTGGGCTGTTTCTCTGTGTAAGTTAGAGAAAGCAAAGTAGAGAACTGGTCTTTCAAGGTATTTTACACGGAAAGATTCCCTCTGCCTTTGCAAAAAAAAAATCTCACAAGGTTTGCTTTTTAATGAAAGAAAACGACAGAATTGATGCTGCTCTGTCCCAGCGATGGAGCCATTCCTGACAGCGGGTGCACTGCTGGAAGCTCTCCAGTGCCACTCACACATCACACACAAGGGACCTGTGCACGTCCCTTCGCTCTGCCTCACTGTGCTGTGGTGGTACTACCAGGATGCAGATGGCTGAGCTGATTGGCTTTGTTTTCTCACTGTCCACCATTCAGAGCTGCTCAAACCTTTCTATAATCGTCTTCAGTCACCACATTTTCACAGATCTCAAGCTGTGTCGATCACAAACCGATGTGCTTGTCAGGAGAAGTGTAATCCCATTTACAGTGCACAGGCAGCAAAAGCGTGCCTGGGGCTCATGCTCTGACACTTCCCTTCAGCTCCCGGAGTCTGTATCTCTGAGCTTGTCTATCCACTGGTATGGCCCAGAGAACACCACCAGCCTCTCTTCAGTGATTTTGATGTGTACGCCTGAAAGGTGCATACTTAAGACTTTTAAAAATGCTGCAAAATTTCATAATGAAATAAATATAAAATATTTACAGGCACAAATCTGTAACTAGTTGAAAGCAGTTGACACAGTTTTCCAGCAGTATGAATAAGCTCTAAGAATACACCCCCTGTTGAATTCCCAGTCCTCTCATGCCTGCATTTAAAGTTCTTCCAGGCATTTATACACTCTTTCATCAACAAAGATTCTCTTAAGATGCAAAAGGTTATCCTCAGTTCACTCTAAGTGTGTTTGTTTTCACTGTCATGAAGACTTTGGGCTTTTCTTTAAGTAGTGAAGTCCAAAATCTTTGGTAAATACGTAGAATAAAGTTGTTGGTTTAATAACTTTAATAGGCTATTCTGACATTTGGAGTGTGCTTAGAACTGATCTCAAAGCACTCAGCTTTCTTTTACCTTCATGTAAGATTTTGATCCTGGAAGAAAAATGTTAAGATCATAATGTAACTTATACAGAACAGATAATTTGTATTTGGATCACAGAAAAATCACCCTTTAAGTTGTGGGTCTACAAAATTATTAAAAATAAATAGTAATTCTTAAGCTCAGAGGAAATTCTGAAAATATGAAACAAGTAGTGCAACTTAGTAATCCAAAACAGGGCAAGAATCCAGCTGCAGCAAAACAGCACAAGTGGTAACTTCACAGAAGAGAGTGCCAAGACCTGCACTCTGAAATCAGATTAATCTGCTTTCCCCTTCTGACTTCTGCATGGAGCTGTGAATGCTTTGCTTGGATATATTTCTCTAAAATGCAGCTCTTCTATAGTAACACGACTAATTCTACTGTTCTTGTTTAAATAATGATTACTTATGTGAAAAACCCATTAGGAACTGCATCCTCAGAAATAAAGGCAAATAATATGGGAGACATGTATTTTTGTAATTAATATTGTGGAGGTATTTCAAACACAACTCCAAAAGCTAAAAGTGGGCTAAAGACTTGTTTTTGATCTTACACACATGTGAGTGTATTGTTTGAATGCATGGGTGTGCAAGTAGAGTAACAAGCTGGTGAACAGATCCTTGGCACTGAAAAAATAATCAAAATATGAGGATGACTTTGTTTGCTTCAAACACTGCCTGGTTTAAAAGATCTTTTTGTGAGAGTTTATCTCTGTGTGTGGGAGGAGCTGGGGAAACAGTGGTTTGAAAACACATTCAAATATACTTGGACTAAACACCAGAACTCAATCTTAGAGTTTTTTTATTTCTTTTGCTAATAAGGATAATAATTTGGATTTAGTCTTGCTGCAATTAGGAAGACACCAGCTTCACTAAACCACCACATATAACCCCCTTCAGAAACCAGGATTCTCACCATGATGTGTGAGTGACTCCATGTCTGCACCTGATGTTTAAATAGGGCTAATTCCCCACTGTGCTACGGTCAGGCTTCTCACACACAGGAATGACGCCAACTTTGTGTTCTCCCCTGCTTTTCTCACTGCTCTGCAACTCTAAGCTGCTCCTGGTATTAAAGGGAATGTATTAAATGGGACAGGCTAATTTAGCAAAATAAGAACAATGCTCCGTAACACAAAAAAAACCCAAAAAAACCAAAAACCACCACATTTCAAGCTTAAGGGCATGTTCACTGCAAATGCTTGAATGTTCCCTCCAAACACACCATGTGTTTGAGTGTCTCCAAGAAACACCTCAAAAATGTTGGTAATTGCAGGAGTGTGTCAGCCTTGGGGTAGGGACACACATCAGACTCCCAGCACTGCTCAACTCTGTCAGCATTGAAACGAAACCAGGAAAAGGGACCTGGGATTCTCTAACACTGCAAAACACATTAAGGCTGAAGTTTTGTGTTGTTACTTCTTTGCTGGATAAATGCTACCTTTACCACTCATCCACACATTCCTCTTTCACCCTCTGAAGTGTATCCTGCTTCAGTTGTGCTCCTTCGGTTGTTTACACAACTCCAGTTTCTCAGGCAGATTGAACACAGCCTGAGGCTGAAGGGTTGCTGCCCTCTCTTCCTGCTGCTGTTCCTACATCGCCCCTAGAGATCATTCTGCTGCAGATGAATTGGACCAGAGATCTGTTATCACTGATAACTGACTTTTACAGAAGAACTGGGCTCAAGGGCTAGCACCCACACAAGGAAAAGGATGGAAACAGGAGGACAGCACAGGGTGGCATTTGGGACTAACCTTTCACAGCATCACACAGTCAGACTGGCTTAATTTGATTGCAAAACTGCAAAGGAACTGGGATATGTGAAATGATCCTTTTCAAAAACACCTTGAAATCTGCAGCTTTTTTTTTTCCCCACTGACCTACTTTGCAGCAGTTACACAAACAACTGCATCAGCACAAGGACGTGCTGAACTGTGGTACAAAGATCTGTTGCCACAAAAAGCAACTGTGTAGACAGTGAGCTTTGCAACCTGCATTGCTGCCAGAGGAAATTTTCACTGTGTTATGTCACATGACAAGAAGGGTGGAAGCTGTCAAAAAGTCAAGCAAGGAAATGCACCCCCTAAAATCCCATAACAAGCAGTTCTCAAAGTATTGCCTACTCTGTAATATATGCAAATTGCTTGTATTAGGGATCAAATTAGACACTCATTAGAAACACCTAATTTCTGCTTCTGTTTAGTGTATTACACTTCTGTTGTTAGGTTTTTAAAGAGTATGGGTTTCCCAACAACCACATCTTACACTGGAATTTTGGGACACATTTTTGCACTAGGAGCTCAGGCTGATGAGTGCAGTGGTTTGCTGACAGGTAAGGTCTGCTCTCCAACATCTCCTGTCATTCAAAACTGGAGCATGGCCTCCTACAACTGAAGCTGGACTATTACCAAGTTGATCTGTGGGCTGCCAGCATTTATTCTGAAAATGAATGAGATATATATGTTAAACATGACTAATTATATATATATATATATATATACTTGATTCACTACTGACCAAAGGGACAGTTGATTATGAAAGTTCTTACATCACACTGGACTCAAGGGAGTTTGTAATCACTGTTTCTGTGTCTCAAAGTAAAATTCAAGAGTGACTGTTTAGCTTCCATTTTACAGGCTTCCTTCTTTTCATATTTTCACCATTGAACCTGTTTAGATGACAATTCAAGTGCCAATAACAAGCAATAAAGGCTTGTTATTGGCACTTGAATTACTAACATGAAATGAGAGGATTGGTTATTCCTTTGAGCTACTCCAACTCTTGGCAGTACATTCTGTACACAGTGTGGTGATTGCAGTGTTGTTCTGCGAATATTTATTTCTTTTAGAAGGTGAGTCCTCACATAGCAGTTGAAAGGATGTACCACCAAAAGTCTAACTTTTGTGTAAAAATACATCACATTTAATTTGGTTTTTTTCATCTGTCAAGAAAACTGACTTAAATTTGATTTCTTTAGTATTATTTTGCTTCCAGGTTTACATGACAGTAACGTGCATCCATACATCACTGGCATGTCCAACTTCCACCTTCCCTAAGGCTTATTTACGAGCCTCCTCCCAACACTACATTTGTCTCTAGTGGCAGCACATTTGCTTGAGTTTGAAAGAATCGTCCCCCTACACCACATCCCCGCCCCGCTTCTCCTCGCCATGAGAGACAACTCAATTTTACCGAACTCGGCCTGGCTCCGAAATCATCCCTCCCCCCAGGGCATTTAGCGTCTGGGTCTGTTTGTGCGTCTGTCGGTCTGTCTGTCTGCCAGGAAGGACAGACGCCAGCCGCTCCCCTCACGCCAGGGGCAGCGCGCGCTGCCTGCCCCGCGCTCGGGGCGGAGCTCGCGCGTCACGGGCGGCGCGCGGGCCCCCGGCCGCGGGCGGTGACGTCTCGGCGGCAGCGATGGCTCCCACGGGGCCGACGGGTAACGGCCGCGAGCGCCGGGGGGCGCGGGGGGACCGGGCGGGCTGTGAGGGGGCGGCGGCCGCGCCCGCCCTTCGCATTCCCTGGTGCTGCCCGCGGCTGGGTGCAGGCAGGGGCGGCACTTAACGCACCGCGTGTAACTTTTCTGCAGAAGCTGCGTGTGCCGTGTCGGGAGTGTGAGAGAGAGTGAGTGAGTGAGAGAGACAAAGAAGGAGTGAGGGCGTTTTTTGGTGCCGGCCCCTTGGAGCAGCTGTATCCTGCCAGGGAGGGGCTGGGAGGCACCTCCAGGGTACCCGCACCGACCCGTCCAGCGACGCAGCTATGCCGGGAGAGTGGCTGGGTGGGAGGGGCTGGGTGTGCTCCAGATGCTCGGGACTCTTGAGTCAAAAGTGCCATTTCACGGGTTAAACAGAAGCCGTTGGATGGGGAGGATAAGTAAAATTACAGCTCCTAATTGGCGTTGGTGTTTTGAAGTGGACGGGTCCGTCAGTGGCTGCTTTCACTGGTGCTGCGGCCAGCAGAGATCCCAAGAACTTCCCCTTTTAATACTTGTGAGAAACAGCTGCTCACTTTGAAAATTTAAAAAAGGTTTTTTAAACCTTGACAAAAATACAGCAAAAGGACTACGTAAGGAAAAATTCGTAGCGCTGGAAGCTGTCTCGTAGATACCACGTGGCCAGTTAATCTTCAAGATGGATGCTCAGAGTTTTATACCCCTGGGAGGTGCATCAGCCAGCCCTGGCCCCTCCCCAAGTCTGTCAGTCAGCTCTTCTTTGCCGTTTATCTGTGTAAACTGCTATCTTGTAACTTGATTGGAGATGAGGTGTTGCCGTCCCTTAAGCAACAAGCTTTTCCATTCCCAACTGCCCCATGTAAGGGACACGTGTGCCCCCCGTTCTTTTTAGCTGTCCTAGACAATCCCTGCTGTCTGATGGTCACAATACAGGGGGAAAAGGGAGCTATGGGGAGAACAGAGAACATCTAAACTACAATAACATAACTATACATCACTAAAGCTTTTCTTAATATTCACACAATAGTTTTTCTTATATTCACACAATAGTTATCCCTTAATTGCGAGAGCCAATCATCTCATTATCCATCTATAACAATACTCGTGAGGGAGTGCCTGGTGCTGAGCCTGTGCTTCAGCTCAGGCTGCATCTCTTGGCATGTGAAAACAGGCCTGCAGTCCTGCTCAGCACCCACTCCACAGCCAGCTTCTCCAGGTGGCCTGAGGTTTCTTCAGGTTCCTCTGGCAAAGAGGGTGTTGAAATTACCTGCCCTGCCCTGCCCTTTCTCCCGTGCCACGTGGGGTCAAGCCATGGGCTAGCGACCACCCTGCTGCAGATCTGAATGGATTTTGCTGAAATGGAAAGTGTGAAGGTGTTGTGGCAGCAGCCTGAGAAGTGGTGGCAGTGAGAGAGAAGTTCTGCATAGACAGAAGCACAAATTGTGTGACGGGGGTGTTTGTGGAGCCCCAGTGAGCAGGTACAAGGCAGTAGGTGGTGGTGTGTCCCTCTGGCAGCGAGGCAAAGGACCTGGGTTCAGGAGTGGGTTATGGAGAAGCTGAGCACTGTTCCTCACAAGCCTTTGAGGGGCAGGATGTCCCACAAAGTGAGGCCATGCAGGTGTGTTTCCCTGTGAGTCCTGCCTATAATGAATATCTGTTGTGGACAGTTTAACGTCAGAACAATTGTGGTTCTAACACAGGGAGCTTTCTAAACCTGGGATTTGCATGTTTAGCTAGAGACAGTGAGCATAGCTGACAGGCCACTGCTATTCTGAAAATCCAGTGACTTTTGTAGTGGTTGTTTGCCTCTCAAACTGACTTTGTAAATGCATTGGGTACGTAAGTATCTTGTCTGTCTGTTCTGTAAGAACTGAATGGTTCATAAGACAGCTGCCGACATGGAGATATTAGCAAGGTGCACATAAGTGCCCAAGGTGAAGTGGTAAGATCTAATACTTCTCACCTTGGATAGGCTGGGTAACAACATAGCAGCAGGGTGCTGCTGCCCACTGTTGCAGAGGACCTGTGTAACATCTGTTGCTGCAGTTCATGAAGCTCTTATTGTTGCCAGAGGGCATCCAGTTGCAGACAATTAAATTAACTGAGTGGCAAATAATGCTGAGGTTATCATGAGCTGTCTGTGGCAGGCTGATAGCAAGAGCATCCTTTCTAGGTACTAATACTGTAAGTTCTGCATGCTGCACAGTAATTTTTTGAATGATGGGCAGACTTGTGCTTGGAGCTGTTGGGGGGAATGCTGATTTGTTGAATTTGGATGTGCAAATATGAAGAGACCTTGTTTCCAGTGAAGAGAGGAGCTGGTCAGCCTAGGAAACAGCGGGTCCTGTAAGTGCCTCTCTCTCTGCATAGTTCCTCAGCTTGTGTTCTGGCACATGAATGTGATGGAAACGCTTTAATACTGTCACAGTTGGCTTGCTCCTTTAGAAGAACTTTGGAAACAACTTGTAATCCTTTATTCTCTTCCAAGTACTTCTATACCAGGCTATTTTATACTAAAAATTAATCTGTAATGGAAGTGCATCAATAATAAAAGGCAATACCTTTTGAGAATCATTTCAGGCATCACAAAAGTTTGGTTTAGAGTAAATTGCAATCTTTGAAGTCCTGTTTCTTGTGGAAAACACACATCCCTTTAGTTCCGCACATGTGGTCTGTATGTGATTGGATTGGGATAAGGAGATGAAGGAACATCGTCTTGCCTTATTCCCTGACTGTTTAGTTGCTTACATTGTGAAAAATGAAAGCTTACAGTTGGGAGAAGTTTATAATTGTTAGTGAATGACTGTAGGGGTGAACAGCTACTCTACAAGGAGTAGAAGTTCTTGTAACTTAGATAACTTCTCTGTTGCAGACATGTAATTCCCTTGTTCATATGATTTCAAGACAGAGTGTTTACCTTGGGGGAGTGAAGCTGGGAATTAGAATTTTTTATTTTGCATTCTGTATCCCATTGACTTTTAGGCCAGTGCTGTTATTTTTGTTCATTTGGTTTGGCCTTCTAAACTAGTTCCAGCCCTACAGCACTCTGTGGTAATGGGCTCAATGTTGTAAGTTTCAGTAGAGTGTAAAATCAAGTTAATTGGTCGTGGGTCCTTTACCACTGCTGGTTTCCTTCTATTTCTGTTATGGCAAGAGAAGCAGCTTATTTTCCTGGACACTTCTGAATGAAAAAGAATATCCATTTCCCAAAGCTCACAAGTAACCTTCATTAAACAAAATTTTCATCAGCTCCTGGCTGAGCAGAGGTAAGAGCAGGGTACATAAGCAAAAACAACAAAAAAGAAAAGGCTGACCTGATTTTTCCCTGCTTAGGAATTTGTCCAAACATTTTTTTCTTTTATTTTGTAATATTCTGTCATACTCTGTTTGTGCTGGAGAGGGGAATTGCTTGAGCTGAATGCTGAATTAAGGTTATGGTACTTGTTGGTAGAACTGACTTCCAGCTTCCTGCCTGCTTTTGTTCCAAGGATGGAGTTCAGCACTTCCTAGCATGGCTTTTTGAATCAATCTTCTTTGATTTCTGGAGTGTTTTTGGACCTGTCTGCACAGACTTTGTTTTCAGCTTGAAGCTGCACCATCAATATGCCAGGGCATGACAAGTAGTGCATGCTCCTGTTGGAAGAAGAGTCAGTTGTTATCCATAGCCGGGACAGGTAAATTGGGTTTTGGTGGGTTTGGAGCTGTTGCATCCCTCTGTAAAGCACTGATGGCCACCCTCATGATTCCCACCCTGTTTCCTGCAACTTTCTGAGATGCTGCTGAAGAAGCACAGATCTGAAACTTCAGAGTAAGGCTCTTGCAGCAATGAGGCAGGATCTGTGCTTCTGTGAGCAGAAAACCATAGGCTGCTCATTGCTTCTGTTCCATGAGGCAAGCAGTAGAGAAAACAAGATGGACCAGGTGAGGTGCAGGATTTCAGCCAAAGGGGAAATCTTTGCTTCTCAGTGTGGATGAGATAGTTGGGAAGCACACAGGTTAAAGCCTATGGAAAGCAGGACTGGTTCTGGGAGGACTCCAGTAGCCTGTCTCACCTGCCTGGGATGCAGCTCTCAGGGCCAAGGATTTGGCTTGGGAGGCTTATTGAAGCACCAGTGAGCCTCAGTGCTGTGTGTCTCACTGGGCTGTGGCTCTTGGAAGCACACAGTTACACTCCATTAGGACCTGCACTGCAGGCCTACTTTCAGATACAGCTTTTCGTGTCTTGCTTCTAAAAGCCTTTAGCTCAAGGATTCATTTTATTTTCATGAATAATTTGATGGTTTAACGTGAGTAGATTTAAGCTCTTATGTAAGAACCTGCTGAGCCTGCCTGTGTGGCGTTAAAACTCTCAACTTGAAGCAAGGGTGCCTTACTTTTTGGTGTTTAAATCTGCCTTCAAATGCTTCATACTTGTTAGAGAGCACATTTTCTTTGACTTCTCTTCATGCCGAGCCTACTTCTGATTTAGAGCTGTTTTTCCAGTGTTGGTATAAATGGAACCTTGTAATGCTTTCCTCATGGCCTCAGCTTCTCTCCAGCACATTGCTTTTTTAATAGTACTGATGTCAAGACAGAAGATGCATTGCACAAATGCAGAAGAAAGAAAAGTCAAATCAGTTAGCAGTTGCCAGTGATTTTTAAGTACCATTATGTGTAGTAGTAAGTTAAGTTGTAATGAGACATGTGGATGTTTTTGTGCCTTGCAAATCATTCATTTTTTTACAAGGGCTTTGATGATAGTTCATAACCTAAACACAAAACAAGTCTTTAAGAGTAAAATGAAGCTGAATGAATGAAACAGATGAGGAATAGCATGTCATTCACATGTTTGTGAAACATCTGTGGGGGTCCTACTCTTGTGATTTGGATTCTTGGTAAAGAGGTTGTTTGATTATTTTGCTATATGTACAGTCTTATCAATGCCTGTAAGTATCTAAAGGGGGGGTACCAGGAGGATGGATCCAAGCACTTCTCAGTGGTGCCAGCCAACAGGAGAAGAGACAACAGGCAGAAACTGATGCACAGGAAATTCCACCTGAATGTGAGGAAAAACTTCTTCACTGTAAGGGTGAACAAGTACTGGAGTAGATTTGTCCAGAGAGTTTGTGGAGTCCCCCTGTGGAGATATTTAAGAACTGCCTGGTCTCAGTCCTGTGCCCTGTGCTCTAGAATGACCCTGCCTGATCAGGGAGGTTGGGACAGACGACCCCCTGTGGTCCCTTCCAGCCTGACCCACTCTGTGATTCTGTATTTGTGTTTGCATTCTGAAATGATTCTGTGTATCTTCTAAAGGGGAAAAGTAGAATTACTTTTTCTGTGGTCTTGGAGGTTTTATTGGGGTTTTATGGGTTTGTTGTTGTTGTTGTTTGCATTTTTGTTTGTTTTCTAAATGCCTCAGATTAAGCTTTTTATTAATGTTTGGGATGGGCTGTGTTTGGGATCTTGAAGCAGTAGTGCATATTCATTTCTAATGATCGTGCTGAAATGTCTACAATATTTTGTTTCAGTCATGATTAGATTTACCCTGCTCAATGTCTTATAATTAACCATGTGATTTGCCTGATCTGTTTTCCTCTGGCATTACTGCAGAGGAAAAGAGTATCTTGTTACTTTTTTGCAAAAGAAAGTAAAGTCTGATATTATCTGTTGGCATATCTTGGTGTTTGTCAAATTGTCATTTACTACTGTAATCCTGAGGGATTTTAGGACTCAGCTGAAAAATTGTTTTTGTTTGCTCAGTTTATTTCTCTTTCTGATTATGATATAGGCAATTAGAGTAGATGTGGGTATTTGTTGTTTGTTTTTTTAATGAAGTTTACTAATTTCCGCTTTGTGCTTGTGTACCACTTTTAGTGTGGTGTCTGGTACCAAGAGGCAGCTCTGCTTTGCTGTTCAGACATTGCTGGGGTGGAAATTATCATAGTTTTCACTTTTGGAAACTAGCATAGGTAGAGATTTTCATGTTTGCCCTTGTGAACTTCTGTTAATTTTTTCTGTGGTTGACTGGGTGGGTGACTGTCCTTAGATAAAGGACCAATTGAGCCTAATTGTATTGAGATAGATGCAGCTGTTACCTTACATCAGGTGATTGGAACTGCAGGTGAAGTAAACCAGTTACTGTCTGATTTCAGCAGAGGATTAGTAACTTTATTCTTGAATAGGAAGAACTCAAGTTTGCCATGTGTATAGATAGGGAATTTCAGAATGACTTAAAAATTGGGTTTATCTTTTTCCAGCAGATCCCCAGAAAAGAGTGCAAGATGAAATTGAATCTATTCTGCAGGAGCGGATAATGGTTTTGGATGGGGGCATGGGGACCATGATCCAGCAGCACGCGCTGACAGAGGAGGATTTCCGAGGCCATGAATTTAAAGATCATTCCAGGCCTCTGAAAGGCAATAATGACCTTCTGAGTATAACTCAGCCTGATATAATCTGTGACATACACAAGGTACGTGGTTCTGGTTTCTGTCTCTTGACAAGAGAAAGAGAGAGAACTTGGCCTCTGCATTCCCCTTTTCCCTACCACAGGCTGCTGGCTCTCCACTGTCCTTTGGGGATAGGGAAGAGAGAGCTAGGTAGCATGTGAAAAAGAATGAGCAGATTTGACTGTTCTGGTTGTGTGAGCACAGCATTTTTATCTTGGTTTCTGATGTCACCCAGGCAGTGCTATTTTTAAATCCCTTTTTGACTTATGTCCCTGATATATTTCTATTAATTGTAGATTCTTTTTTATTTCATTTTTATTTTCTCTTTTTGTTCTCAGCTAGCACTTGAAATGCATCTAAGTAGGACATATCTGAATTCTAGATGTGTTTCTATAATTGTGTATTAAAGGGCTGTTAAATGTGGCAGCCTGAAGCAGGCCTGTGTAGTTAATGAGTGTATGTGCTTCCACAGTCTTGTTTTTCCCTAGAATATTAATGTGTGGCCCACAGAATAAAACAGTCTAATCTGCTGATGATTAGGAATTTGCAAACAGATTTAATTGTTTTCCTGTCTTCAATTAGACTTTAAAAACCAACTTCCTAAGTCTGTTTATTGAGCTGCAGGTATTCATAGCTCTTACTGTAATAATTGGAATGCTTGAATGGTGTTGCAGCTATTTGTTATTCAGTTGAAGCCTGTATTTCATTGATGAGAATCATATTTGGCTTATGTTGGTTAAACTTGGAAAGTAATCTGTAGTTTTTAATTAAGTTTTAACTGCCATTCTTTGGATTTTAAGAGTGATGAGCTGGAAGGAATCAGTCTTCGACCTATAAAAATTTCAGAATTAAGTATTTGTAGATTGAATTCAACTGAGCAGTAGTGCTCATGAATCTTGGAATTTATAATAGTTTGTGGTTTTAATAATGTAATCTGCTGTGACAGTTGAATTTAGCAGGTTTAGCAGAGCAATATTGATGTGACTTGAGAATATATGTATTGATTCAAACCAAATAACCTGTTGGTATCTCTGTAATGGCCAGTTATAGGTGCTTTAGGAGGAGTGTCTTTTGTGGTCCCCATCCCTGCAGCAGCTATTGGGTCAGAGGTTTTCTGAGCAATGAGTGGTGACTTCATATTTTAGAGCTACCAGGGGTTATTTCTTCTGAGAACTGCACAGAAGGAACTGGCAATAATAGATGAAAATATTTCGACAAAGAAATATTTTGTTTAGGTCTTTTGTTTTGGTTTTTTGCTTTCTTTGTTTGTTTGTTTGGGTGAGTTTTTATATTTTTTTTATTTTTTGTAAATGACCTAGTGAGTTAGATCTCACAGATATCAGTAGCTTAAAAAGTAGATGTTAGCTGTGCCTTGGCTGGCAAAGTCAGATTCAAAGGTTAGAGATGTGATGTATTTTCAAAGGCAAAAATTAACTTCCTGCTTTGAGTACGTTATTTCCTTCTGTAATTGTAGACAGGAAAGTTGGAGAGCTTTTATAATTTACTATGTTTAGATAATTTTCAGAAAATTAATATATTGTTGACATTTAAGAGCTTGTATATTTTCATATCTATGTTTGTAGATATTTTTATGTGTTTTCAAGAGGAATTCAGAGAAAGCATGTTTGTTTGCAGCAAAACATGTTTTAAAGCAAATTTATTTTCAGCTGTCATTTGGATCAAGACTTTTTTTGCCCTGTTGAACTCAATGAGTTCATCTGCTTCTTGTAGGAAAATCTGAGAGGTTTATGTTTAATGGTAGCATCAATATTTTTGATTAACTAGCAGTTCAAGTGTTTTAATTTCCTTGAATAAGATCATGCCAGGGTTCAAAGGGATCAAAAAGATGAGTTAGGGAAAAGGGCAACTGAGAGAGGTTATACAAATGCAGGCTAGAATCTGAAAATTTGTTTAAGTTTGCATTGATTTCAGTTTACTTCAGTGGGAATTAGACAACGAAAATTGAGTAGAAGTCTTAAATGTTTGTGAATCTCTGTCATTAGTTAAACTTTTAATGAGATTTGCATAAAACATTATTCTCCTAAGCTTCTATTTGGTCCCAGTGTGCTCTTGTCCTGTACAAATCTCTGCAGAACATTTACATTTTCTAATATTTTCTGTTGTTTAATTTGGGCCTTTTCTGAAACTGCCCACAGCAGCCCTTGCTTGCTGAAGGTGATTGGACTGTCTGAGCATATCCCTGTGCAGAAATCTAGAATGTGCTCCAGTGGCAGAGGTGACTATAAAATAGTGACTTGTTAATAGAAGGTGTGGCTGACACTGAAATTCTGAAAATTGGTTACATGGAACACTTCTACTGCTTTGGCCCTGTACTTTTGAGTAAAGCCCTTAAAGTGTGATCAAATTTGAATTGGGAAATGATTTGTGACCTTTTGTCAACTGGATGAGACAAAGTAGTTGGGTTACTTGCATTCCATACCTCAGGCTTGGTTTCTTTCATGCCTTGCAGGAATACTTGCTGTCAGGCGCTGACATCATTGAAACCAACACTTTCAGCAGCACCCGAGTTGCACAGGCTGACTATGGCCTTGAGCATTTGGTAAGAATGCTAAGCTGTTTACACATTAAATATTAATTATGTGCTTAGTCCCAGGATTCATTGGTGTTGTGCTGCTTGGCTGCATGCTGCCTCTTGAGCCGTGTGATGGGATCGTAGCTCCTTTCTGCTGCTGTGGACATTGCGCTTGCTGTGTCACAGACAGTGTGCTTCTTGTTGGCTAAGGTACAGGCAATAATAATCAGTCCTAGATTTTGTTTGAGCATTCATAGAATCTCTTGGTTCTGTGAACAGGGATGTTTGCTTCAGTCATTCAACTTACCAATGCACAGTGGAACTGCTTTTTTCCTGGATATTTCTTATGTGTTGTTTGTGTTGGTGTATGTAGAAGTCCTTTCTAGTTTGCATTTATTGTGCCTATTCTTTGTAATGTATTGTTTTGAGAATTCTATGTGAAATATGGAAAGTCAATATTATATGGGAAATATGTGAAAGTAAATACTTGGAAATACACTACTTGAATAAAAAGTGGACTTAGGAGTAGGCTAATTTTGTCGTCAAAGTCCTGTCTTTCAGCTTCTGTTGATCTCAGCAGGATTTATTTACTACCTTAAAGAATGAAATTTTATGATTAGCAGCTGTAGGCTGGGGCATGTGCAGGATGAGCCTGCCATGTAACTCTGTTGCTGAGATGTATTGATCTGTTCCTTTTGAAGCCTCTTGGTAGTGCTGATACCTACTTGTGTGACCTGGCACCTTTGGAGTGCACTTCATGCTGCTGGATGCAAGTGTTGTGTTTCTTTGAGGATGAGTTACCCCGGACTGAACTAAAGGTTGCTCAGTAATTTTCTGTAATTGTTCCAGGCATATCGATTAAACAGAGTCTCTGCACAGGTGGCCAGAAAAGCAGCAGACACTGTAACTGCTCAAACAGGTTAGCATTATTTTAAATTTTTACTTGTTTGTAGTTTTGACAATGCTGCAGTCTTTGAAATGTTGCTAACTAGAGGATATCTTGATGGTTTGCATTTTGAGGACATAAAATGACACTGTGCATGTTTGCAGGTTATACACAGTAACAGCAATTTCATATCTCTGTTTATATCACACTAATTTCATTATGTTTGAAGGATCTGGTCCCTAAGGTGTTCAGCACAGCTTTCCTGTGCCTGCCTGGTGTAGACTGCAGGTGATAGACATCTTCAGATGTGTTTTAGAGAAAGTAAGTTCAGCAGGGACTGTTAGAAGTTCCTTAAGTCTGTACAGCAAAAGTCTTTGTACTCCAGAACTAGGATAGCTGATTGTAGGTAAATGTGGATTACCAGTTAATCCTAGTGTTTGTCTAGTAGTTTAGCTTTATTCAGCAGCTAATGGAATCATCTTAGTCTTTTCATTTCATTTCTACAGATGCCTTCCAGGCATTATGTGAGAAGGGTTAGAGCTCGTTTACACTGCTGTAGACATTGCTGTTTTTCAAGACTTATTTCTGCTTGTATTCTACAATCACACTGTATTGCAGGCCAACAGTGCTGCTGCTGTTCAGATAGCACCTTACTGGTGTGATTCATAGTATGCAATAAAAAAGTAAGATTTGGAATGTGCTTTTTATAAGTGGGGCTTTTATGACACATGCCAGAATATTCAAATAAGGTTATGTAGTGAAAAATGCCAGGGCAGTTCTATGCTGTACATTTAGAGTAATTAAATGAAGTTTCTTGTGTTAGAGACAAATGATTCTTAGAAGAAAAATTAATTGAGATAGCTGACCTTTTCAGAAATGTTCTTCTGTCCTGTGAGTATACATTGAACATCCTGTTGGATTGAAATAAAAAAAGTTGGCTGTGCTGGATGATCCTGTGCTGACTAAACTCTAGATTTGAGACAAGAGTTTCCTGCTCTACAGTTCTTCATCCTTGAATGTTATGCATGTCTCGGTGCCCTCAGAGGTATTTTACATTGACTCTATAAAGCCAGAGGTAAATAGTTTGGGGTCTTTTTCCCCTCCTGTGTCTTGGTTTAGGAATTAGGAGATATGTTGCTGGAGCCATGGGTCCAACAAACAGGACACTCTCTGTGTCACCGTCTGTGGAGAGACCAGATTACAGGAACATAAGTAAGTATTTATAACCATCAGGTTATTTGACTTAGGCAGTAGTCTTGAAAGGTTTTTCTCCAGATGAAGTTAACACCATTCCTGTTTGACAGCTTTTGATGAACTAGTTGAAGCCTATACAGAACAAGCCAAAGGACTTTTGGATGGAGGAGTTGACATCTTACTGGTGGAAACCATATTTGACACCGCCAATGCTAAGGTGAGACTTCTGGGGAAAAAACCCCACCACACTAATGTAAGTATTTGGTCTACTACCTAAGGAAATTCAGGATAATATTCTTTGAGCTATCAGCTGCTTTTTACTAAATATATGAAAAGACTCTTCAGTTGATAGCAAGTGGGTAGAATGTGGGGAGATGGTTTTTAATCAGCCTTTCCCAGAAGGTTTCTCTTATTATGTGCCATTTTTTATCTTTCTGGCTGTCTGTGCCAGCTGTCCTCTTATTCCCAGAAGCTCTGCTGTATTGCTCAGCATCTCCAAATACTTCTGATTGTATTTTTCACTATAAGCATGTCTGTCCAAGGGATGCTTGGGATGCCCACTGGAGAGGGAATGTCCAGTGAATCTGGTTTCAGGTGTGGGAAGGCTTGTGAGGCAGTTCTATTAAAAGGTGTCTTTTGGGGGGGAACTCTGCCATCAGTTTTAAGAAAGAACAATTTGTAATAGAAGATTAGAAGGGTAAAGTAGAAGGAATAAAATGGTGAAATATGCCACAATTCATGGGATTTTAGCACCTCTTTATCTAATAACTGCTCAGCACAGGGGGTGAAGTTGTTAGGGTACTTAAAACTGTCTTGTGATTTTATGTGGAAAAGTCTGGCTGGATGTGTACACAGTGTTTGTTTAGATTTTTGCCACAGACTGAATAATGTGTGCAGTGATATCACTTGCCATTTGCAGATCTGACCAGTCATCATGGAGGTCTGGCTAGGAGCCTGTAGCTCAGAATGCTACGGGCATGTTCACGGGTGACTTTCTTACCCTAAGGAGGGAGGACATTTTCAGCACCTTCAGAGGAGTCATTTGCAGCTCTTACTGTAAAAATTTGTGGTGGTTGGAACCCTTTGGAAACTACGTGTCTAAACAGACTCAAGGGCAGTGAATGTGTACTGGGAAGAGTGCATACAACCATATTTGGGGTGGGGATTGTGCTGCAGATGTGAGGGGAACCACGTGCTGATGTGATTTGGTTTCACGGTAGTCTTGGTCTTACTTGGTTTCCCTGTGATGCTTCCTTTCTACTTGTTACCAAAACATGTTTTGGAACTTCTGGAAGATGCTGGGGGTAAGGGTAAAATTTCTGAGTGTAACTTCTGGCAGGCAATATGAGCTAGCAAGTTGCATAACAGCCATAGAACAAATAAATAAATAAAAAGAGCATCAGACCCATAGAAACATAAAGAAATGAACAGTCTGAAGAACTCTCAAAACATTATTAATGTTTTGGAATATATTCTTCTGTAGGCAGCTCTTTTTGCACTCCAGATGTTGTTTGAGGAAGAGTATGCTTCCCGACCCATATTTGTAAGTATATTTCAATATTTTACATATCCTTAAGCTTCATTTGTGAACTAACTGAGATGGCAGTTGATTAAAGTGCTTTGAAGTGAAGGAAATGAGTTTATTTGAAATGTACTTTTTCCACATGATTGTGAAAATAAAACCTTTTACAGTTTTGTCAAATCTGCCTTGGATAGCTCTGTTCAGCATATCAAGCCATAGTCCAAGGAGTGACTTTATTCCAGTGTGTATTCATTCTGTGTGTTTCCACAAGAAAAGATCTAATCATGGGGGTTTTTTTCAGGCCTGCTGTCTTAAGGGCAATAGGAACCAGTGATTCAAGGAGAAGATTAAGCAAATTCTGACATACTTTCAAGTAGAATGAGTGTCCATTTGAAGTCAGAAAAGTCTGTCTTCCTCCATATTCTTTTCTGATGTTTGTTTTTCTGATAGTTGCTGTTCATGAATGCATTGGAAGAAATACAGAAAATGAATAAGATTGTTTTCAAAGTTCTGATGTATTCTTCCACTTTTCTACACTTGCAGTCCAGGCTTTCTGATTTGCAGTTGGTGTCTGTTTGTAGGCTTTTGTTGAATGTGTTTACTCCTTCCTTGCATTTGTGTTCAAACCTCTGTGGGACCCAAGCATCTACAAAATAATCTGCCAGTAACTTTCACAGTTCATGAATGTGCTGGTTTGAAAATTTGCTTACTTTTGCCCCATCCACCTGATAACTTCTATTGTGTCTTGTCATTTATCTCTTGAGAATGATAATGAGCAGCTGTTCTATGTTCCCTTTGCTGCATAGTCATGGCATTTGTAGTCCTTTGTGAGAGCCTCCTTTAGGCATCTTTTTTTCAGCCTGATGAGTCCACTTCTATTTAGCTGTTCTATTTGGTTCATTCATTATTTGTCCCATTTTTGTTTTCTATTTCCTCAAGTCAGAGTGGAATGACAATAGAACACAGCATTCAAAGTGCAGACATCGGGGATTATGTGATAGCCTAGTGATGTGCTCTACCTTTTCCATTTTTTTCATTGTAGTTTCTGATATTTTGCTTTACTGCTAGTGAGCTTGGAAATTTCATTCATAAAAATCTCTTTTCTTACTTAGTTTAGCTTCTAGAACAGTAAAGACTGGTTTGGAGGTGTCATTGTGTAGAACCTCTGTGGTCACAACTTTGTACTTGGCCAGTTAGCACAGGGAGTTTTCTGAGTTGGCATTTTGTCTTCATTGCTCTGAACAGAGTGGTTCTTGAGCCTGATTCCTTATTCTTTGTTCCCTGTTCAGTTATCCTGAGTAGTTACAACACTTAGCACAGCTTTCTAAGATTCCACTGATCACCTTTCTTGACTGAGTACTTTGGAGGCAGGAAGTGGCATCACTATGAAAGCATGCTTTGGAGTAAATAGTGGATTTACTTTTGCATGGAGTCTTCTAAACCCATCCTATCTTCTGGAAAAAAAGGCTTTTAGACCTGGTGTTGGGGTGTAGGAATGGTACTCTACAAATCACTGCCCTCACTGAGATTCTCCAAAGCATGCACTGCATTTTTTGCTCCCCCACTTTCCTCCCTCTCTCTTCCCCTGCGTTAGGAGGGAGAGGAGAAGTGGAAGCCCAAAAGGCAAAGGTTGAGGTATGAACAGTTTATTGGAAACAGCAATAAGAAAAGGAACAGTAACAGCAACAATATTAATGACAAAAGTGTATACAAGAGTGAGTGACTCACATGCAAAGATGCTCGCCTTGGAGCTCAACCTGACTGCAGCCACGCAGCTGCTCCCTCTGACTTGGGACTGGCATTTACCAAATCTCTGGCTCAGAACTGGCTTGGAGCTGGTGTTAGCCCACCACCCTGTCCCACTGGAAGGAGCCCCTTCTCACTGGAGAGTCTCCCTTCTCCCACACCTGACAATGAGGTGGTATAACCTCTGTGGTCCTGGCAATGATGTGGTTTAACCTCTGGTGTCCTTGCCATGTCCCCTCCTGGCTTCTGCAAGAATTAACCTTAACCTGGCCAGAACCAGGACATCTGAGGAGCCTTTCCTGGCTCATCCAGATGCCTCCCAAGTTCTTGACTTCATAGTTGAGGTCATGGTATTATTTGCACATATCTCTGTATACTGCTTAAGAAGTGTGATTATACAAGTTAAAACTTACACTTCACTACTAAGTTGCAACATTTGATGTTCCCTTGTGGTTAAAGGAGTTACTTGTTAAGGGCAGACCTACCTCACCCACCAAGCACCACCAAACACTTAATAGCAGTCCTGAGACCTGAAATAGCTTAAGTGAGGAGAAGGTGACTACAGAGCGCTGCCTAAACGAAAAACCCCTGTGGATTGGTTCAGAGGCTGTCATCAGAATGATACCATGGTACTCATGCTACCTGGCTGCTGGATGGTTCAGAGTGGTTTTCTCCCTTTTCTTTTGTTTTCTTTCTTCCCCCCTGAGGAAGTGAAGCATGGACAGAACGACTCTCCAAATAGTTAAAGTTGAAAAGATGGGTATTTATTACAGCTCCAGAAGCATGTGGAATCTTTTCTAGAGACATGCACAAGGAGTTGGAGACTCCTGCTCTCTATTTATACAGAAAAGGTTTTACATATCTGAGTGGTTTCTAAGGATGCATAATACTTAATCATTACCTGCCCACTTTGTATTATAATCAGCTGAATATCCATTATGGCTGTGCAATTGTCCTCTTTAATTGGGTCGGTGGGCTTCTGGGGAGGAAGTAAGACATCTTCCTCATGGTAAACTCTTCACCTGTGTCAGGTTGGCAGGGCTCCTTGATTTGCTGGTCACAGTCCAAACCTGCTCTCATTCTTACAAGTCCTCAGTATTTATGGCTTATGCACTCTTACAATACTTCATAAATCACCTGTCATTCCCAACCTTGTTTCAGGTATCCCCACCTGGTATCGACTGATTTTCTTGTTAAGCTCTAATCACAGTGTATGATCTTTGCTAACTACATTTCTAACTTAACCCCTTAACTCAGAGGAGGGAGAGAGGGAAAGACAAAAACCTTTAACCAATCTTCTTTCTCCTGGAAAAATATTTAAACATTTACATGGTGAAAAGGGTTTAATTTTTCTGTTTGAGTTGTGCCTTATCACTTTGAGTAGAGCACAGGTGAATAATAGCAGTTCATCCACTTTAATTTTCCATTCTGTTGTGCATTTAATTCTTCTTTCTCTGTGTTCAATTGATATTTAGGTTTCTGGAACTATTGTGGATAAGAGTGGGCGTACCCTCTCTGGCCAGACAGGAGAGGCATTTGTCATTAGTGTTTCCCACAGTAAGCCACTTTGGTAAGGAAATGTATTGTTCATTCTCATAGTTAATTAGTTGTAGATTGGGATTCTTTTCTATTTTAACCCTTGCTTGCAGCTAAATGGAAACTGTACAAATTGTAGTCATATGTAATCATGTGCATCGCTAATGTGTTTTTTTATCATTCCCTCAACAGAAATTACGTTACCAAAGAAAGCTGAATTTTTAATTCATTGCTTTAAATAATCTGAGGCTTTGTGCTTACACTGAAATCACAATTAGGTCAAAATCTGAAACTGTAGTTTGCCATCTCCTACTGTCTTGGGCTGTGCAAGGAGCCAATCCCTGGTACAGGCAGGACTTGTCTCTCTTAGAGGAAAGCAGTGCCATCTGAGAGTGTTTTAGAGTGTCTTGAAAGAGCAAAGCATAAAATACTATTGCAGTGTTCTTTTTACTGAACTCTTAGAAGAATTTGCCCTGAGTGATTTTCTCAAGGATGTGTGTGGGTTTTTTGAGAGCTCCTGATGCCTCCATTTATTTTAATTCTTTTCTCTTCAGGCAGAAAAGTTCAAATTAATGTGAGGTTAAGATCTGTGCAAATGGTTAATGTGTCAGATTTGGTCATTGTGCAAGGTTTTGCATATTCATTTAAATACCATCCCCTGGTTATCTACTCTTCTGTGTTGCTTTACCCTGTTCTACCTCCTTGTCTTCACTTCTTTACCTTTTTTCATTCTCAGGCTGGGTCTCTTCACACAAAAGCCAGAAATAGATGTTTTTTTCTTAGAATATTCTAATTGAAAGCCCTTAGTTCGCTGTTAGTAGTGCACACCATGCACGTTATGATGAGCCATTGTTTGTTTTTACAACAAAATTTCAGCTAAACCACGCAATCTGTCATCTCAGTGATGCAGAAGCAGAAGACTGCATTCACAGTTTTCCTGACTGCCCTTGAGGCTCCACTTTCCCAGACCAGACGGTGTTCCAGAAGTAACATATGGAGCCTCTTGGAACAGGGTGGTAGTTGACTTCTTCTCTCAGCATCACGGCCTCGTGATCCATATTTGGCATGAGTCTGTCTCAGATAATTTTGCTCTAACTTTCTTGCTTCTGAAGAAGAGAGAAGGGCACTGGAGCAGAAATCAAGAATTTAATAAAGCATATTTCATAAAAGCTGTCTTATGGATCTCAATGTTTAAGGCCTGTTTCTCATTTGTGAAAAGGCTACTATGCAGCACTGTAGCAGAATGGTTTTAGTGGTTGGAACAGATTGCGTTTAATGTTGTTTCTGTGGCCAAATTGGTGCAGAGTGGCTTTAGGGTCATGAAAAAGCTGATTAATGGTAGGATCCTAGGAACTGTGTTATACATGTTCATGTGTTTCTGTTTGGGTTGTGTATGCCCCGATTAGGGTGATGTGGCGTCCTTAATTCAGTTTGGTTTGGACCCCACCCTTAAAAATGTGTGCTTTGTGTCTGGATGAGGGAAGTGGTAGCTGAGAAACTCATGAGCTGTACTTAATAAGTGCTGAAAGATATGTGTCAAACTGCTTGCCATGAAAGATGCTCAGATGTGTTGTTTCAGATCCTATGATTGTTTCTACTGTGGCAGCATTAAGAAGACATACGCTGAGTTTTGGGCCATAATGTGGATTTGTTCTGGTCCCAAGGGGCTCTGCAGCCTTATCTTTCACAGGAGTTTATGTATGACTGCTGTGGAGAAATGAGCAAGAGAGGGAGGTGATGTTTAAGATGGGTGTGTGATGGTTATTAGACTAGGGTAGCAGTGACAGAATATCAGCTATTTGCCTCAAGGCTGCTGGCTTTTATGGCATGGTTAACAGTTTGCTTTTCTCAAATGTTTTCTTGCATGATGTTGAGTGCTGTGAGGAGATTATACTGGCCACATGAGCTACTTTTTGTTTCTGAATGAATGTGCATGTCTTTGGTACAGTTCTGAGATAAGTAATGCTTGGATTGTGTCATGCTCATGAATATACTTGTCAGCAACTCCTGTAATGGGTAATAATTCAGGCAGTTTGGAGTGTGGGGAGTATGAACTGGAAGCTAGTAAATGGAGTGACTTAAGAGAAGGAAATACGCTGCATTTGTCTGCATTTGGTAAGGGCAGTCTTGCTAACCATTCTGGACTTGCTTTGCTTTGAAAATCTTGAGTGTGGGGGAGCCCATACTTTGAAATGAATTCCAGAACCTCATTGCTGTAATGAATTGTGTATTCCTTGGGCTTGCTATTTGTACCCAGGGAATCTCTATGATGGATTTAAAGATACGTAAATATCAGATCTTGAAGTGAGAAAAAAAATATTATTTTCAAAATTTTCTGGCTAGTTTAAGATGTATTAGAGAAAGCACTTTGAAGGTAGAGGTTGCTGTTTAAAAAACATATACATGTATACCCTCCCCCCTCAAACACCAAACCAAACCAAAAAAACAACAAAACCCTTAGTGTGTTATTTGATCTTGATCTGTGACTGTGATATTCAAGATCCTTGGTTTGGATGTTACTGTGAGCCCCTCAGATTTCAATAGTTTTTCATTCTGTTCAACAAGGAAATCTGACTGCAGTTGCTACTACTTATGGAGTTACCAATTCCCTGCCTACTCCTTGGAAACAGGAGAAAAGTCAAGAACCATTTTATGCTCCCAGTCTTGTGCAGGGCTTTTGTGCTTTTGACCTCTGTGAGACTAAGTGGGCATACAGGCCCTTCATTAGCTCGGCTGCCTGTGGAGCTCAGTCAGCTGGAAGATGTGCCTGTTGTGCATTCCTGTTTCAGTGGGTTAGCTTGCATCCTCCCTGAGACTGTTATTCCAGGAAAGGAGAAACCTTGTTTTTATGTCTTCCTCTTCCAGCAGCTCTATGACCACCTTCTGAGTTCTGCAGTGTCCACTAGGGGGTTTCTAGAATGGTGCAGAAAGATCATGGAAACATGTAAAAGATATCTTATGTACTTTCTGCAAGAGAAATGTCTGTATTTAATACAAATGGAGATATTTTGAGTGCAAGTCTCATTTTTCTATCTGCCATTGAATGAAAGAAAATATGATTATATCTCATATAGTAGTAAAGTTGTTTAGAAACTTATTAATGGAAAAATTCTTCTGCTGTAGTGCTCTCTTGGTTAGTAAGATGTAGCAAATTCAGTTGCTCAAGCTTAGTGCTGCCATGAGGCTTCTTGGGGGAGGCACTTGCTCTCTTCCAAAGTTGACAGAATTTATGTATAATTTGTAAAGGAAATGATGAATTAGCAGCTCGAAGAAGGTCTTGCCTTTTCAACCTTTTTTCATACTTTTTCCTGTAGCACAAGATTCCTCCCCCATCTGCCATTCTCATTGCACTTGTTCTCTCTCTTACCTAGAAAACAGAGCCGTCGTGTTGCTGCAGTTGCTGTCAAAATGCTGCCACTTTCCTCCTGGATTTTGAAATGAAATCTTGATTTATTGTTCCCAGTTCAATTCAGCCCAGCTCCCTTCCCTCTTGTGCTTTTCTTCCATCTGGGGGTTCTCCTTTTGCACAGTCATGCTGTACTGATGATGATGATTAAAGAAATTGGAGATCAGGTTGGTTTTGTTTTAGATGATTGTGGGAGTTAGCAGTTGCCAGCACTAACTTTTATCTGTTCTGTGTGTAAAAGGTGTTTTTACTTCAACATAATTTTTGAAAATTTATTTTCCAGTATTGGCTTAAATTGTGCTTTAGGGGCAGTTGAAATGCGTCCATTCATTGAAACAATTGGAAAATGTACAAGCGCCTACATCATCTGTTACCCCAACGCAGGTGTGTTGGTGCCCACGTTCCTATGCTTACAGGCACATGAAGTGTAGCTAACCTGTTCCATCTCCTTAGCAATAATAGAGTTGAAGTAGCTTAAAAAGATGATTGATTTTACTATTAAAAAGAAAGTAAGAATATTTTAAACTGCTGAAAGTAACTGTTGTTAGTTCTGTGACAATGAATCCAGAAGGCTTTCTTGCATAATTAATAATCTGCTGAGTAGTGATTGCAAGGGTGATGAGGCATTTTAGACCTCATACAATTGTAGCAGTACAATGTGCCTTTTGTGAAATATAGTTCTGTTGTTTTGGACTAAACAAATTCTAATACTAAAAAAAATTTATGTTTTAAGGTCTTCCCAATACTTTTGGTGGTTATGATGAAACTCCAGAAGTGACTGCCAAGCATATAAAGGTATAAAATGCTTCTGATTATGTGACATCTGATATACTAGTAGACAAGAGCTCTGCTTGTATCCTGTGCGTACTTGTTACAATATTGGGGATGGATTTTTTTTCCCTCAGATACTCTGTATGTCATTTGGATTGTTTATAGACAATTTGCTCAATGATAGTGATTTGAAGTATCACACTAGGAAAACTACTTAGGAAACTGAAAACCTTAATTACTTCTGTGTGCTAACTTAAGGTTTCGTGCTGCTTGATCTGTGCATTTTACTCATTGCACTCCGGTGTTCTTACTGTTCTATTTGGGAATTGTTCAAAAAGCTGAGTGGTGTTTATGAACTTGGCAAAATTTTACAGAGAGTGTATGGGAACTGCTGATATTAGGGGTGTTCCAGTGCAGAGTGTCATTCCCTATGCCACTGGATCGGTGCAGGACAAAACTGTGTGTCTGGCTAGTTTCAAATGTAGTCTCTTGAAATTACCAGTTGAAATTGCTGGTTAGCCTTGGGAATCCAATCTCAAAACAAATCCTAAAGAGACAATATAGTGCAAATTAATTTAGTGCGTTTTTTCTGAGCTTCCTGAATTGCTTCACATGTGGAGAAAAAGAAATAATTAAATGTATATGTAACATGGCTGTAATAACCCTGAACAAAATGTTCCTTCCTCTTACAGAATTTTGCTTTGGATGGTTTGGTCAACATAGTTGGAGGTTGCTGTGGTACCACACCAGCACATATCAGGTACTTCATGTGCTACAGCTCTGGACTGCAAAGTAAATTTAAGTGCTGCTTCTCTGGCACAATATTCCATGGCTTGTCTTAGAGTTTCCTGAAAAGGTGGATCACTTGAATGCCAATAGCAGCAATATATGAAGTGGGAACAACCTGTTCATGTCATGAAGAATGAGTGGAAGTGTGGTTCAGACAAGGATTAAACGTCTTTGGTTTTGTCGCCTAAAATTGTTCTGGAATTACTTCTCCCTCTCTAATGATGAATAGAGTAGACTTCTTATTCTCTCCTTTATTGTGCTGTATCTTCTTTCTCTTTTTTTGCAATCTTAGCCACAAGGTGAAACTTAAGGTTTCCTTTGATGGTAGATGGAAGAAAGGGATGTGTGTGTGTTTGTTGGGGAAATTCCTAAACAGAAGTTCTATGAATGCTGCACAGCTGGTGCTGGTCCTGGCTAGTAAGAAGGAGCATTTGATGTCTTTGTCTCTGCAAGTAGGTCAGTGGGAAAGCCTCCTTTTTTCACCTAAACTTGAAAAAGAAAGGGCTGTTGTGATTAATTTTTACCCTGATATAAACCGGGAAGAGGTGACATGTAAACATGTAGAGGACACTGTGTGTCAATCCTGACTAGTGTGAAGAGAAAATGAATGTGAACAGCATGAGTCATTGTGGCATCTGAGAAACGTGTCTCAGTTCAGAGCAGTGTTTGTCCCTTGAGTTTTTTGTGGAGGGTGATTGGGGTTTTTTGTTTTGTTTTGTGGTTTTTTTTTTTTTTTCCTTTTGTTCGGGCTTGTTTTTTGTTTGTTTTGTTTGCATGTGATTTTGTGGGATTTTTTTATGGTTGATTGGTTTTGGTATTTCAGTCATTAGCAGTTGCTCAGCTCAGCAAGTCATGAATAGGGTGAGTCAGTGTGGCTGAGCACTGATTCTGAAATCCTTCAACTGTCCCATTGTATCTCATTCTGTACTTTAAAAACCTCCAGCATTGTATATTTCCTGCAAATAGCTATGTTAGAATCTTCTGGGAATATGTTTTTGCCTTTGGCCTCACAAAGTGAAACTACATAATTAGTCTTGTCTCTACAGGGCTAAATTGGAAATGCAGCTATATGTCTAGTGTATATGCTGTTTGGGTCTTGTCTGGAGTAATTTAATTTTAATTGAAAACTTTCTTATTTCTGTAACTCAGAAAAATTGCTGAAGCTGTGAAATTCTGTAAGCCTCGTGTTCCACCTTCTCTCTCTCAAGGATACATGCTGCTGTCAGGTACAGTGTGTAACAGTTTAGTTTCATAACTAATGCAAGTTTCCTTTATAAATTTATTGGCTGTTTTCTGATGATCAGAACAATGCTGTGGACCTCTGGTTCTACCTGGCTCCAGCAAGCATATGGATGTGTAACCACATCTAAGTCTTACTGTTTTGCCTAAAGGAGTAGTAGAACATTTTTGCTGCCATTTTGTATAACATAATCTACTCTGCAAGTCTCAGACATGTTGTAAGGGTGAAAGAGTATCTTTGTCTTCACTTTACAACAGGGAGGGTCAAACACAGGGAGACCAGGTAATTTGGCTACAGTTATGGGCAGAGCTGGGATGAGAGCCTTGTACACCAACTGGGTGAGGGCTGTCCTGTCTCAGCTCAGAGGCTGATTCAGTCATACTGGGACTGTGGGACTGTGTTCCAGCAATACATCCAGGTCTAGACCATGTTTTGTTTTAATAAAGTCTAGATCTGTATGTTCTACACTTTAGGCATTCTTTTAAGCCTTTGAGCCATGTACCTGAATAAAACAGTACCATCTTTTCAGTCTGGCATTTTAACCTCAGGTCAAATCAGTTTAGCATAAATAAAATATATCATGGTTGGCCTGTGATGTCATGCTTTAGCTTATTTGGTTCTGCTGAAGAGTTTGTTTGCCTCTGCATTGCCTGCTACCCAAGGGCCCAACTGGCCTTGTTTCTCTGAACTAGGGTATGTGGTTATGAGCTGCCCTTGTTGGTCAGTCAATTCAGTGGGCTGTTGCTTCTCTCAGGGTGTCATGCACGAGGTAAAATAGTTGAAAGTTGAGAGGACATACATGCAGATGTTCAAAGAATCATAGCTTAACTTCTGTGTTGGAAAAGTTGGTTGTTATTTTTTGTGGGTCAGGTAAATTATTGACTGTCATTGAGGAAGAACAGAAAGATTTGGTTTATTTATTGGCAGCTGTTTCATTGCATTGCTTTGCTAGTTACTCATTAGAGCACTGATGTACTGAGAAGTCATTATGAGAGAGAGACCTTTATTTTACAGTTCAGAAAAGAGATTTTGTCTTTCTTATGCAGTTTTTTCTTTTCTGTTTTAACAAATGTGTTCAAAAATATCTCTTTAAGGTCTGGAGCCGTTCAGGATTGGGCCATACACCAACTTTGTTAATATTGGTGAACGCTGCAATGTTGCAGGATCACGGAAGTTTGCTAAACTCATCATGGCAGGCAACTATGAAGTATACCTATTAACAATAATCTCATATAAAAAATAATCTTTATAGCTGATGCTCTGATTTTCTATTGCTCCATTACACTATTACTGTTTGTTTTGCTGGCACAAAGCACTATTCTACACCAGTTACAAGAGTAAGAAAATGTGGAGGGTTTATTTTTTCACTGTCCTTGTTTTTCTGCCAGCTACTAGTAACTGTGAGAAGGGCTTTACAAGGACTTCTATTTTTTTTTTTGACAAGTGTTACAGGACACTTTTAATTTTTAATTTAATTATACAGCTGGTAATGGTTTAGAAAATGTCTTGGTCTGTGCTGCATGTAGGGGGTTGGTTTACAGAGAAGAGGAGAAAGAAGGTGGGTGTAATCTGCTCTTTCAAGTTATGATGAACATCTGACTTGGGATAGATTGTGGCACTGTGCAGCTCTCACTCTTTCTCCCCTTCCTCACTTCCCCAGTTGGGCTCAGCATTATGATTACATCTAATTGATGCCTACTTTGATCTCTGACTCCAGCATGCTACGTGAGCATTGGTACAGAAAAAGATGCTTAGAGGGTAATGGCTTTCTTGAAACTACTGCAGGGCAGAAATGAAGAGGCTAGAAGACTCATTCTTTACTGGTGTGAATTGATGCTGTAACATTGAAACAAATAGCAGAGTGACTTTTCTTGAGTTAAGTCTCTTTCCCAGAGTATAGTCTGATGTTACATCGAATCAGAATGAAAGCCTTAGTTGGTGTTTTTGAAGTCTGACTCTTAGGCTCGTAGAAGTCATGAAGCACGTTAGGCTTATTAAACGAAGAGACCTTTAAATACAGATTGTTAGGGACTCTGCAGAATGACAGAAGAGAGAAAGTGAACAGACATGGGTGTTCAGATATTTATCTAGGCTGGGGAAAAGCTTTAGTTTTCTTTCTTAGCATTTGTGATTATTCTGCAGCTTGCAAAAATGTTGAAAAGCCTTTAAAAATTAAGTATCCTGTTACAAAACACCAGAGCTTGTAATGCAAGGCCCTTATTTCATACCATCACAGAGACTGTATTTTCCTGTCATCTTGTGCAGACACAAGTCCTTGTTGCCATGCATATCTTAAACTATGAAATTAAGCCTATGACCAACTTTCTACAGTTGGTGATGCTACCAGCACATCAGGTCTCTGATGTCATGTTCTGTAAACAAATTAATTATAGGTTTTCTGTATCAGCAACTTTTCTGTATTGGTGTACATTACAGACCATTTCCTTATTTTCTTATAGGATGTCTTACAAATCTTTAAATTTTTGACTGCATGCAGTTTGGAGAAATGAAATGTTATCCTGAGAGTAACTAGGATTTTTTTCTTCTTAATGTTGTTTTGGTTTTTGACTTTCTTCTTTAGGAAGCTCTGAGTGTAGCCAAATTGCAAGTTGAGATGGGGGCCCAGATTCTTGACATAAATATGGATGATGGGATGTTGGACGGCCCCACTGCAATGACCAGATTTTGTAACTTGATTTCATCGGAACCTGATATTGCCAAGGTTGTAATTGAGTCACAATAATGAACATGTTACTGACTTGTAAATTGCATGCAGGAGATGTTGATACCATTTCATTTAAAAACCAGTTAATGTGCTTAGGCAGGTGTATTTGTCCCCCGAGAGGAAGTGACACTGTAATAGGGAAAGCCTTTGGGTGAAACAGAGGCTTTTCTGTCTGTTTTCACATAAATATATGCCAGTCCTTTTCACTGGCTAGAAAAGCTGAATGCAGGTTCATTCTGGAGCAGTTATAAGCCATAATCTATATGTTAGCAGTGCATAATGGTATTGCTTTCCACAAACCTTAAAGTTGCTATGGATATAGAATAGCTTTAAAAAAATAGTTCTGCAATGTGCTTTCTCTAAAAATGAGTATCTAAATCAGAAACACAAGATATTACAGGGAGAAGTAGAGATCTCTATATGATATATGATGGAGCTGCCATGGAAGCTCTTGAAATAAATTTGCTCTGAGTTTTGCATTTAAAACAACATGAATCTCTGAATATAATGTGGAAACATTTATTCCTAAATGCTGATTAATGTTGTATGCATTTTTATGTCCAAATGGACAAACAACACATAGAACTGTAAACTGTAATTCCTAACTCCTGTGTATTCTCCTGGCTTACTTATCTATTATTTACAGGTGCCATTATGCATAGATTCCTCAAATTTTTCAGTGATTGAAGCAGGTTTGAAATGTTGCCAAGGGAAATGCATTGTAAACAGCATCAGTCTAAAGGAGGGTGAGGAAGACTTTCTGGAGAAAGCGAGGAAAATTAAATTGTATGGAGCAGCTGTGGTTGTTATGGCTTTTGATGAAGTGGGGCAGGTGAGTGTCACTTTAAAGAAGAGGTGTTTTTCTTCTGAAGTGTAAGACTTTCTTCCTCTTTTTCAAAACAAAGTTGCTTTGTTTCCTTGACACAGTTGATTTAGAGATGTTCTGTATAACCTTAGCAGTTATGACCTTAGTTTTGACCCTGATTTGTAAGTATTTCTTATGCTGCTCAAATGTTTGAAGAATCCATGTACTGATCTAAGTGGACCTCTGTTAGTTCAAGAGAGTCTCTTGCTATTCAGACATGCTGAACTGTTCCTTCACAAAAGATATTTTTAGTTCAGAAGCTGTCTCTCATGAGAGTGAAATCTTTGTGAATTAATTTAGTTATGTTGAAAATCACATATTAAGCTTTGCATAGGATGATGAAAAATTGGGTAGTGGGATTGCTTTTTATATGCTGAATGAAAACTCCAGGTATAGGGGTGGTGATATTTTAAATATTATATTCTTATGTATAATCCTTTTCCAATATTTGTGATGTTCACATTCTGTCTTGAGTCACTGGAGCTGTAAATGATTTCTGGAGAGTTTATTTTTTGTGTGGTCTATAAGTTTCATGTCAGAATTCTTTTTCTTCACTAGGCAACGGAAACAGAAACCAAGATTGCAGTCTGTTCCAGAGCTTATCATCTCCTTGTGGAAAAAGTGCACTTCAATCCAAATGATATAATATTTGACCCTAATATTTTGACCATAGGAACTGGAATGGAAGAACATAACCTTTATGCCATAAATTTTATCAATGCTACTAAAACCATAAAAGTGAGTTGTAAGGTTATTTTAAGTTGAAGTATATTGCTGAGATGACTTAAAACCCTAAACCCCCATAAAACAGAAAAAACACTGCACCCCCCTTCAGACAACAACAACAAAACACTGCTGAAAAATGTTACACATTTTAGCCTAGTGAGCAGGACTACTCTTCTGAAGTCCAGACATTCCCCAATATTGCTGTATTTCCAGCAGAACAACTTCAGATAGTTCTATAAATATATTTCAATCCATTTGCTGTACTGTAAATATACTGCCTTAATTAGATGAGGTAATGATCACATTTATGTGCAAGCTAGAAGGACCTCTTTAAAGGTGTGCAAAAAGTGCTTTTTTTCAGTAAAATTCCTTTTTCCATGGAAGGCATTTGTTTGGCAGCCTGACTTTTTATGTAGCCAAAATATGTGTCAAGAAGTACAGCAGTAAGGAACGTCACCTGCGTGCAGCCGAGGAAACCGCACTGTTGTGTTTCACAAGACACCCTGATAGATGTGGAGATGCTCTGCCTGTAGCTGTCTGGGGGTGACACCCCACAGGTGCTTTGTCACCACAGGGCTCCTGGAAGTAGAGCTGCACCCTTGAGTTTGGCTGCTCAGCTGCCGCCTGCTCCTGAGATGTGCAAGCGGGCAGACTGGCTGCTCCTGTTTCCAGAGGCGTGGGGACAGGAAGAGCCAAAAGTAGGTTTGCATGGAGCAAATATGGAATGCTGCAGTGGGAGAGCTGATGTGTTCAGAATAGCACCTGTGACAATGGAAACCACAGTAGCTGCTGGATCTTTCCTTTATTTGTAAATTTTCCTGAAGATCTGAATTGATCTTTATGAATTTGAGTAACTAGAAGGATCTGGAACAGGGAAAAGAGAAAGGGTACATAGCCTATACACTGAGCTCAGGGGCCAGTTGTTTTATGAACTGAATGTTTTACTTACATTTCCTTTTTGGAAAGCACTTCTCTAAAAATTTCTGTGCAATTCCTATAGGAAACACTGCCAGGAGCCAGGATAAGTGGAGGTCTTTCCAACTTGTCCTTCTCCTTTCGAGGAATGGATGCCATTCGAGAAGCAATGCACGGAGTGTTCCTTTACCACGCCATTAAGGTATGATGTGCTTTTGGCTTCCATATGTTTGCACTTGGCAGATGTGCAGTGCTGTGTCTGACAGCCTTTCTGGAGGATTCTCTATGGTTTTTTCCAGTATGGCATGGACATGGGAATTGTGAATGCTGGGAATCTGCCTGTGTATGATGATATCCACAAGGAATTGCTCCAGCTGTGTGAGAATCTAATCTGGAACAAAGATCCTGATGCGACAGAGAAACTTTTACATTATGCTCAGGTAACTTCCAGTTTTAAGCTTTGAACAGTAGTTAGCTTAGCACCTGAGCCTTACTACCTTCCTGCAGGTAAAACAGCCTATAAACTGCATGTGTCAATATAACTGTGGGTGTAAAAATTTCCTGATGATACTGCAAGTGGTTCAGTTATTAACACAGAATAAAATGAGTAATCTGTGATAGATCAAACCTCTCCACTTTCATGCTGTGGAAGAGCCCGTACCAGAGCTCTTCATATGCTTCAGGAGACCTAGCTGCATAGACATTCTCTACAGAAAAAAACCAAGCCCTCAAAAAATAAGAAGCAAAAATCCCAACCAGACTTTTCCCCCCAAAAAATGCTGACAAACCAACAAAAACCAGAAAAAAGGCCAACTCATAAGCAAGCTGATCTGGGTGCTCAAACTTAAATGACAAGTGCACTGTGGGAGATTAAGAGTAAACCCCTCTCTCTGGTGGTAATGGTTTGCTTGGAGTATATAAAAAAAGTGAAATAGTTGCTTGTGATTTGTGGCTCTACATAGACTTCCAGTTCATGTAATGTGTCAAGATTGAGGATCAGGTATTTAGTGCTTTTGAGATGTTTTAGTGATGATGGTGATAAAGGACAAAGATTACAATTGTCTGTAAGGTAACTGGTGAAATTCTGTTCTGAATGGGAGATACAGCAAAAATCTCTCTGGGTTGGGTGGCTGTTAGATTTGAATGAACAAGAAGACTTGCATGTCTGTTTTATAGCTCCTGGAGGCAGTGTTTCTGTGCAGAGCTTTACTTGGTTTGTATTTTGTCCTTTGGTGTTGCATGCTTTATAGTAACAGTGGCAACATGTTAAAAACTGCTACAGGAGGACTCTCTTTATCCCTTGTGCTTAGGATATTTCAGATGGTGTTCTTGGTGTCCATGCAATTCACCTGGGAGTGATCTTGTCTGTTTAAGCTGAGTTGCACCATTGGTGTATTCAAGATTGCCTAAAGAGGAAGAAAAATAAAGGGAGAGTTAGAAAGGGATTACTTGAGCAAGTGTTTCTGCAGAAGGCTGAATGTGAATTTAAATGGAGCCTTAAATGCAGAAATAAAAGTGGGTGTTGAGTCCTAGGTGTGTAAGTTTGGGAAGCCATTGTTGGAAAATCTGCTTTTATTAGTGGTGGTAGTTTTACTGAGGGAGTGAAATAGTCTAGTGACAAAGAAGAGGAACTTTACCCTTGCAGATTTAGGGAATCAGTCTTCATTTGAAGTTTGAGATTAAAAACCATTTTCTATGATGTATGTAACTGCAGACATTCTTGAACACTTTTGCTCCTGCATGTCCACCTTATGGTGTCATGGGTTACTTTTAGGCTGGAGTGGTTCCCTTGTTAAACTTTCTGGCCAGAAGTAGAAGAGCACTTGGTATCATTTCAGTGAATCACATGAGGTGATTCCTGAGGTGGATAGAGACTTCTGGAGATCATCTACTACAAGCCTCCATCTCAAATCAGGGGCCAGCCAAGATCAGGTTACTCAGGGACATGTCCAGTCAGGTTTTCGATATAACTAAGAATTAATGTAAGTCTGTGTTGTCTCCAGGCAGCATTTTATTCCTTCCTTCATTCCCTTTTACAGTCTAGACATATGAGGAGAATAAGATTGTGAAACAAGAAGTTGTGAAGTTAGATAATATTTGTATAAACATGAATGAGAGCTGTTCTGTTTTCTGTTCCCATGAGTGAGATCTTGTTTCCATGGCTTTATCTTTAAAAACTTGCTGATGAGTACTCAAAAGCATAGGAAGTTCATAAGGCCTGAGAGATGTCAGATTATGTCTCATAACTGAGTAAGGAAAAGAAGTTACTTGCCTGAAGTGTGTTGGATAAGGTGCTCTTCCATGAGTCTTCCTGGGGTGGGTGCTTGTGAACTTTCTTGCACTGTGAAGCCCTTTTGGCCTCTGTTCATAGCCAAGGGGAGTATGAGTGTGAGACAGTGAGGATATGTGGTAGCTTGGGGCAGTCTATCTGTGTGACAAATAGTAGTTTTGTAGGCTGAACTGATTGAAAACATGTCTGTGATATGGAATAACATAACCTATTCCAGCAGAAACTGAATTAGTGCCAAATTAATTAGAATTTTAAAATTAAATGTAATGTGTGGGCCAGGAATCAATTTAAAATATGTTCCCAGAAGTAAATCCCTTAGGATTAGTCATGTCATCATTTTTATGAGCACAAAATTTGTCAAACTGCTCTCTCTTTTTTTTTTAAATATTTTGTTTAAATTTTCATTGAGGTGTATACCTATTGGGATGTAGACACCCTGGGTGCATGTATTACATCACAGGTGTTTGCAACATGATTTGCATGTATATAAACCTTTTGCATAGTCTAAAATTAGTTTATGAGTCACTACTTGGAAATATCCTTGGTTTTCTGAATGTGAAGGTCATAATTGTACCTCTTATGCATGCAAGCTCCTATGGATGTCTTTTCTTTTCAGAATCATGCCCAAGGAGGAAAAAAAGTTGTACAGACTGATGAGTGGCGTAAAGGCTCTGTGGAGGAAAGGCTGGAATATGCTCTCATCAAGGTAATCTGATGTCCTAGCCATGAGAGCTCAGAGCCATGAGCTCAGCTCAGACCTTAAGGGACGTATTTGCCTTTAAAAGTTCTTCAGCTACCATTTTTTCACAAGCTGTTAATTAACAATGAATAATAAAGGCAACTGATCTATTTAATTTCAAATAACAGAGAAAACTAGAGAGAACTTATCCTAGAGGTGTGTCTTTAAGCTTCAGAAGTTGAAGTCTTTGACCCTTAATATTTTATTCCGCTAGTGTTGGTAGGAACATACTGCTTTTGCTTTGGAACACATTCCTTTTACTTCCTAGGGCTGGTTTTGGTCCTTCAGTAGTACTGCACTGAGTGGCACCTGGGCTGAGGAAGCAGCCTTTGAGTGTTGGGTTTTTCTGATGACACAGTTAAGAAAAATGAACAAATCTGTTACTACCGGGGAAATGCTGTGACTAACTTTACCTGCCTAAGACTTGCAGTGTTTTGGTTCCTAAGAAAGTCTCTTTTCAATACACATTTGAGGTATTTTTAAAGACTGTCAGTATCTACAGTATCTATTTGAACTTTCATTGTGCAGTTTTTCTGAGGAGAAGGCAACTAAATAAAAGTTGTATTTCTTGCAAGATAAAAGCTTCTCTCTTTTCTTTTTTTTTTTCCCTCTCAGGGCATTGAGAAGTATGTCATTGCAGATACAGAAGAAGCAAGATTAAATCAGGAAAAATATCCTAGACCTCTAAATGTAATTGAAGGGCCTTTGATGAATGGCATGAAAATTGTTGGTGATCTTTTTGGTGCTGGAAAGATGTTTCTGCCTCAGGTAATGAAAAAATAATGTCATATATTTTCCTACTTTGCAAAAACTAGTATTGTAAAATGTAGCAATTGCAAAAATTCAGGTACTGCTGAGAAGAAGCCATTTTCTTACTTTACTTTGAAACTCGACTTTCTTTGTGTATGATTTTGTTTATTTCTGTTCTTCCTGAGTGTTTTTGCTTTATTTGAAAGGCAGTTTTAAGTCTTAGCCCATGAAAAAGTGCAAGAGAGAAAAAGCCCAAATAAAATTTGCTGTGTTTAGCATCTTCTGAGTCTGGGCCTATCTGTAGCTTTTGGTTGTGTTGTGATTGGTCTGGGAAGCTGCACTATGGAAGAAATGTTTTGTGAAGAGCCTTAGCCCAGTGAGGCCAGCAGCCTGCAGCCACAGAGTGATCTGAAAACTGCCACCTGGGGCTGCAAATGAAGTTTCATTTATTGCCTGAATAAGAAAACTAAAAGAAAACTGAGTTTATTCCTATACCTTATCTTTATTGTTTATTCTGCCCCCACCTTTACCTGTGCAGGTGATAAAGTCAGCTCGAGTTATGAAGAAAGCAGTTGGCCACCTTATTCCCTATATGGAAAAAGAAAGAGAGGAAAGGAGAGCCAAGCAAGGCAGCACAGAAGAAGAGGCAAGATACAATCTTTTGTGCTGTAGTTCTTTCATAGAGTGCTATGACAAATATAAGAATTATTTGTTGCTATTTGTATTTATTATGCTGCAGAGTTGATGCAGTCACATGGAGACTGACAATCTCAGTAAAAATTTGAATTAGGTTTGAAATTCATGATTTTGTGGAGCTCTGCTTGGTGCGTGCCTAAGCTCACAGAGACTCCTGAAATATGCCAGTGAGCCTTTGTAGGCCCTTCCCTTTATGCCAACATTACTAATTTCTTGTCTTTTTACAGGCATTTAATTTTGGTGTTATTTATTCTAACTTTATGTCAGATTTTGCTGCTTGCTTCTAATACTTTTGCCCTGGGCGAACTCTCTAATTCTTCTTTAAAATTTTTAATTGTTCCTAATTTTTTGCTTGAAGTCTTCTTATAGTCTATTTGCTGTGCATCTGTTGTGTGATTGTCCAGCACAAAAGTAACAAATACAGCAAATAATTTGGAAAGAAATATAGCCTGATGATTAAATCTGACTGATCTTCATGAAAGAAGGAAAATGCCTTGTCTCTTCTCCCATGCTCTTTCCAGATATGAAGGTGTCTTTTCTCCTATATCTCAAGTTATTCAGTTGTCTGGCTGTCACAAATCACCTTTCACTTCATCATCTCTCTCCAGCTCATGCTGTTCTCTTTTAATTCAGACAACAGTGCTGGTATTTCACACCCTCTGTTTTGAAGTTGATAAAATTGCTACCCCATTGATTCCATGAGCAGTGGATTAGGATCTTCTGTGAACCCTCTGGCACTTAATTCTCTGGCTGGAAAGAAGTGAAGTGGAATAGGAGACATTCTAAAAAGACAGAAAACACTCTAAGAGAGTGAGTTAGATGCTCTGTGTGGCTGAGGAGAGCAGGAGAAAAAGGCAGGGCTTCTGTCATCCTGCCTTCTCTACCTTCTGTTGGACAAGGGATGTAGTTCCTTCCTCTTAAAAAGACATGCCACTATATAGAGACTCAATGAAAGAGATAAAACAGCTGCATCTCTTCCCAAAGTACATTGGCTTGAAGGAAAAAGATTTGCAGACTCTGCTAACTGATCTGTCTGATGTTACCCAGGCCACTGTACCCTCCAGGACAGTTTTAGTCACAGACTGCCAGGAAATGCAAAGCGTTGATAGTTACATTTGAGGATAAATAGCTGTGGCTGTGGATCTCTATCAAAGATGAAAAAAAATAAAGGCCTGTTGGATGTATGCCCAGAACTTGAGGACCTCCTTGCTTAAGACAGTTGAAATAAGTGTGCCTTAAATAGGGTTTATTTAAAGTGGTATGTGCTGTTGCCCATGTTGTTTGCTATCCAGCTAAGATTTTCCTTTTTATGTGCAAATCCAATTTTTTTTTCTTTTGTATCAATCACTAATGAAATCATCAGTAATTATTAGGTATGATTAGGTGTGATACCTAATGTGAGCCAGCATGTTTTGTTCTTCTCCTAGTCCTTGATTAATCTCTTACCCGATTCCCCAGCAGTATATTTTCAGCTGCAAAATTTTCTGTTGATTTACTGAGGTGGCTGACTTACATACCTTCATTTTGCTTCCTCTGTTCTCTGGACTTGTGTAAAACAGAAGCACTGGGGAGATACTAGATTTTAGTAAACAGCAACACTGGTGGAAATCCAGGGATTTTATTCAACAAATGTGTTAGAACCACAGGAAAATACTAATGTCACTCTTGGTAATATATCAAGATTTTTTTAACCCATAATATTGCAACTACAAAAGCAATGTAGGTTCATGAAATAGAGAGCTGCTCTATGTGTCCAGAATTACAACATGCTTCATAGAAGGGTTCAGTCATCCAGTTCTGCCACGTGCGAAGGAGATGAGATACTGTCTGGAAAAATATTTTGTAGTTTCACATACAATATGCTCAGATTTCCACTTTATTTAAATTCTGTGCAATTTATGTAGTTGCTTACTGGCATCTGATGCTGCAGCAGCTCAGACATAGTACTGTTATAGCCTGGAGCTGTTCCAAATGACGGCAGTGATTATACAACTAAAAAGGTATTGCCAAGTCCTGTGTCCCAGTGGAGAACTGCTGTGGGAAGTTCCACTGTTGTGCTGCTGGCAGCACCCTTTGTCAGGCTGAATGCCATCTAGCCTAGGACCTGCTTGTGACAGAACAGCCTCCTTTCTTCAGGCTGATCCTTCTTCAGCCTGTTTGTTCAGCTTGGGTAGTCTGAAGTGGCCTGATCACTGCACTGAAAACTCCATTGTTATTTGTGTTGCATAAAAATGAGCCTCTTCTGCTTTTTCTAATTGCTCTAATTTCTCTTCTAAGTTTGCTAATATCCTGTTTTTCTCAGCATTGCATCAAAAGATTGATCTTGATGCACAAACAGACATGTAATTATAAGTATTCATACCCTTCTGTTCTAAATATTTAATCTCTTTATTGGCAAGGTGTGTATTTGGAGCAGAAGTACCTTAGGAGTTCAGTTATTGCACTGCAAAAAATGCTATCCAGATCTGAAGTGGTTTTATGTGCTGTTTTGTTTTTTCAAGCACAGATTTTTGAATAACATCCATGCATTTTAAAAGAATAATTCATGTACAAGTTTCTATTACCTGGATCTTTTAAGATGGTTTTTAATACTTACTGTATTATCTGTACTACACTTTGCAGTACTATAATAGAAGTCTGAGTCACGGATTAGAATTGCAGTGTTGAAGGATGTGTTCAAACATGCCAAGGCTTCTGAGTAATTTAACTCTTGCTACTTCAACTTCCAGGATCCTTACCAGGGTACAATAGTTTTGGCAACTGTGAAGGGAGATGTACATGATATCGGCAAGAACATTGTGGGAGTTGTTCTGGGCTGCAACAACTTCAGGTAAAGAGACTTCAGGTAGCTGAGACCACAACTGTAGGAGGGTCAGTACCTCTCTGTAGCTGCAGCTGTGGTGATAACAGAACTGGGCATCTCTTGGGAATTGTCCTCTGTTCCCCAGGCTGTGATTGGGAACACAGATCACAGCAGCTATTACTAAATGGGGAGGCAAGAGGGAATATTGCATCCTCCTTGAATACAGTTTTTCCTAATAAATTGACATCTGAGGTGATTCTGCAGTTTATCATCAATTGGAATATAGATGAGAACATCAATTTTTGTGTTTGTTTTATATAAGTTAAATATAATAACTGTGATGTTTTTATAATGTCTGAAGAAATCAGATATGACAGTTGCAGTAGACAATACTATATATGGCTTGTGTTGGGAAAAAATAGTCTTGTAAGATTCAAATGAATCTTGTAGTGTGTTTTTCATGTTGTTAACTATGAAAAAAACTTGCTGAGGTATGTTTTCTTAAATAAGAGATGAGATTCTCATTCTGTTTCTAAACTTCAAAAGTTAGAACTTCAAGAAAAGTCAGATCTTTCATGGCCTGTGTACGTGCAGAAGGCTTGGCAACAGTGTTGGAATGAATGGTCATGTTTCCATTAGTGTTCAAGGGTCTGTCAGACATTGTGCAAAGCTGAATTGGTTTTGGAACTCTGTCTTACTGTTCATTCCTTTAGTTTAGTTTTGACTTTGGGTTGTCATTTGCTCTGGAAAAAGCCAAAATTATCCCTTTATTTCAAAACACAAAGTGTTGAAGTCAGTAGCAGTGCTGTATATATGCAATATATTCCATTGAATTTCCTCTTGAAATTCTGTTGATTGAATTCAGGCCTTCTTGAGCTTTATTTAGACTTACTGAAAGAAAGCCATAGTGTTCTCTGTCACCATGAATATGAGTGAGGCTGAGTGAAATCTGCAGGCTGGGGTGGTTGACTTGAAGAAATAAAAACCTCGGCAATTGCTTGGGTTAATAGGAATAAAATGCTAAAAAGGGAAGTTCAGTGTCCTGTTTCATAAAATGTATGCTTTAATAAGGCAAACAAGCTTGGTGTGAATCATCTTATATTCCTGATGTAAGATATAATGTGGTATTTGCAGGGGTTCCCAGGATGAGGTGAGAGATGAGTGAATTTGACTCCATGTTTTTAGAAGGTTAATTTATTATTTTATGTACTTATATTATATAAAAGAATGTTATACCAAAACTATACTAAAGAATAGAGAAAGGATACAGACAGAAGGCTTAACAAGAATGATAATGAAAAACTCATGACTGACTCCTCAGAGTCCAACACAGCTGATGGTGATTGGTCATTAAGTAAAAACAATTCACATGAAACCAATCAAACATTCACCTGTTAGTAAACAATTTCCAGACCACATTCTAAAGCAGTAAAACAGGGAGAAGCAAACAGATAATTATTGTTTTCATTTCTCTCTGAGAAGAAATCCTGGAGAAGGGATTTTTACAGCAAATAGGACAGTGACAATACGATGTTCACAGAACATTTTTGTATTATCCAGATGCCTTCAGAAATGCTACTGCTGTGGGTAGCCTGGTAGGTGGCTCAGCATCACATAGCCATTCATTCACTTCCACCCAGCCAATCTCAGTGAGATGGGAAAAGAGAAAAGGAAGAAAGAAAGCAAGAAAAATTGTGGGTGGAGAAAGAAAGCAAGAAAAATGATGGGTGGAGAAAAGTAATAACTGAAGGCGAAGTGGAAGAAGAGAGAAGGAAAGAAAAAACAAGTGATGCAAAGGCAATCCCCTTATCACCTCCTATGGACAGACTAGGTGCCTAGCCAGTTCCTGAGCAAAATATGGCTAACCCCTGCTATGCCACTTACTCTCCCTTTTTATTGCTGATGGAATATTTCTTTGGTTAGTTTGGGTCATCTGCCTAGTTGTGTCTACTCACAGTCTGTTTCTTGGGGGGCTAGAGTAAGAAACAGAAGAGGCCTTGATTCTGTGAAAGCATTGCTCATCAATAGTTAAACTTTAATTTGCAGAATTGTTTTGGCCACAGATCTAAAACACAGCACCATACCAGCTGCTGTGAAGAAAATTAACTAATCTCAGCCAGACTTAGTACAACCACAAAAATTTATTTTAAAGAAAAAGCTCCTCTTACACTTGAATTTTCATAACTGTTATGCCTTCTGGAACGCTTACTGAAAATTTTACCAGACCCAGAGGTATTTCCTATATAAAAATTCCCCATTAGTTTCCCATTTCCCAAATACTTTTAAGAGAAGCAAACAAAAATCTCAATCTTAATTTCAATTTTTAGGTCAGTTGTTTATAGCAAGAGGAATGTATTTGCCCTGTAAAAGAAATTTGTTTTGCTAATTAAAGGATCTTGTGTCATCTCCTTTTTTCCACAGAGTTATTGATTTAGGAGTCATGACTCCATGTGACAAGATATTAAAAGCTGCTGTTGAGAACAAAGCAGGTATAGAGAGACTTCATTAGTACTTCTGAATTGTTTGATTTTTAAATCACATTTTTTTATTGCTGCTTATTGCATTCCTGTACTGTCTATGATTTGATCAAATTATCTTCAGAGAAATCAGAACTTCTGCTTTAACCATGTTAATTATTTAGCATTTGGCACTTCTGTGAAACTTAGCCTGAGGAACGTTTCAGACAGATGCCTCTGAGAGAGATGGTGTAGTATTTCTTTTACAGATGGATAAATGGAGCCTTGAAAAGGTCTAACTTTTTTTTGAGTCTTAAATCAGTAAAAGAACTTGGCGTTTGGCTTGCCAGATCAGTGAGTGTGAAATCAGGAAGGAATTGTTCTAATAATGAACTTCCTGATGCAACTTGCAGTTGCTTTGGAATAGTCTACTGCATCTTGGAAAAGATGAATGGTGTGAAACATGGTGAAGTTTGAAAGCATTTGCTGTTTCTAAAAGCAGAACTTACAATTATTTTGTCTTATTTTCCTCTTCAGTGCTGAACTTCTGAGACTTGGAGCTTGCTAATCAAAAGTGCTGTTTATTTATTGCTGAAACTAGAGCAGTAGGTGTTCAGCAGCTGTGAAGATGAGAAATATCTTAAGCTGGGGATTTGGAATTGCTATCATTCTTGGAAAGCTTTCACTTTCTAATTGGGTCAAACATCCCTTTTAGACTAGTGACTATCCTGCTTTTCATCTCATTATTTTCTATCTGATGCATGAAGCTATCTGATGTATGAAATAAACTTTTCTGTAGTAATTTCTGTGTCTTTCTAGAATGGACTGGCTAAAAGTTTTGTGCATGTGTGTTTTTGTAAATTTGCAATAGATATAATTGGCCTGTCTGGTCTCATCACCCCATCTTTGGATGAGATGATTTTTGTCGCCAAGGAAATGGAGAGATTGGCAATAAAGATTCCTTTGCTCATTGGAGGAGCAACTACTTCTAAGTAAGATATCTCTGTTGGGAAGATGGGCAGCTTCTATGCAAACAATATTATTATTATTATATATAAACAGATGGGCAGCTTTTATGCAAACAGTATTATTATTATAAGTAAACAGTATTATATATAAACAATTTCACAAGTTAACCAATGAAAAAGAAAATTTATAGCCATTTCTTTCCCCCTTTCTCTCATTTTCCTACAACACACATACTGATATGTATTCACCCTAACATTGACTGTTATTTCTTGTTTCAGAAATCCTACATTACTGAAGTAAAATCTAGTTAGTACATAACAAATAATGGACATCTTAAATGTTTAATTTTTGCAAGCATATATTATATGTGGAAGTACTGTGTTTTTTCTAAAAGTTTTTGCTCGCATGGAAATAAATAAAGTCCTGTTCTTCAGAGGGGTTGGATGATCTATTTTGATTCACCAAAGCATTTAAAAAATGCAGGATTTTGAGACTAGAAATAGTTGACATCAGGGAGCTGTTATCTTTAGGGAAGTTACTGTATTTTCCTGGATCACTGTTCAATGTGGTGATGACTGTGTTGAGCCTCCCGTGCTGCTCAGGCAGGCTGGTAGGGGATAAAGCCCCGCTGCTTGCCGTGAAGTACTTATCATGTTGATTTTGATAGACTGAGCTGTTAAAATCTTGTTCTCTCAGATCTGTTCAAATCAAATAATACAGCTGCTGTGATTTCCTGAAGACCATGTTGACAGCTCAGTGACACCTAGTATTAGCATTACTGCAGATGTGTCCTGGGCACATATACCAGCCGTGGGTCATGCTTTGCTGGCTGATTAGTGTACAATATATTTGAGGAGGTGACAGCTCAGAAGACTGTAGAGGGCATTTTTTCTCTAACTAAAAGCTGTCAGCAGTGTTGCTTTCTTTATCAGAGCAGCACATACTGTATTCTATAATTTTGGCTTTAGCAAATCATGTCATGATTTGACAGACAGTGGAGAGTAGGATCTCTACCTGCCTTTATTCTTTCTGCATGTATAATGCAAGGTTCACTGTATCCCTTTTCTCCTTTTCCATGTGTGCCTCTTCCTGCTGCTTTGATACTGAGAGCAAACGTGGAGGATTTTTTCTGACAAAAACAAAACAAAACAAAAACCCCTCCCTCCCCACCCCCCCAAAAAAAACAAAAAAAAAACAAACCACCAAAAATGTGGGGAGTCAACGGGAAGGCTTTATTCTAAGTGGAGGTCTTAGGAGAGCCTTTTCAGTTCTTTTCAGTTTTTTCACCCAGGGCATTGTGGCCTAGTAATTAATGTCAAGTAACCAGCTTCAAACAGTTCTGCAGAATTTATTCAAAAGGAGGAATGTAGCTAACAGGGAAGCTGCACTAGTTTTATCCTTGAATATGGAAATTACTAGAGAATATGTGCATACTTTTGAGTACAAAAATTGATTTTATTCATGTGAATTTTATATAAATACATACTTGCACATATGCCCAGATACAATGCAATGTCTATAAAGTATATGTCCAGTAAAGGTACTCTTTATGGAAGACTAGATTCTTGATGTATATTTTACATTACTTTCCTAGTCTTCAATTAACCTCCCATGTGCATTCTTAAAGGTTGTGTATATGTCAGAGGTTGCTAATGAAGAACCATCTGCATTTTTTTCACTGTAATAAATAGGCAATGTTATTTGGAATAAGGAGATCATGAGTACTTGGAAGAGTGTATAGTGAGGTTAGTTTGAAAGAGAGAGAGAGGGAGGCTGGATTTAGTGTCCAGAATTCACACAGTAAGAGTTTCTTCATCATCTATAGTAATGATGATTTTTCCATTCATATTATGCTACTTTGGTAAATTCAGGTACTGAGAAATAATGGTGACATTCTCATTGCCATAAAATTTAGTTTAAAAAATACAGAAGTTAGCATGTAATGGTTGATACAGTGCCCTTTTAGGACTATGTCTTCTTTTGTTTCCTCGTCTGTTCCTGTCAAAACAGATGAGATACCTTTTTGTAAAAAATAGAGCTGCCAAGATCAAAAATGCATCTCCTAGAAGCAGATTCGGGGGATCCTGGACAGTTGTTTACACAGCTGTGCTGCACAGTCACGAGTAAACCTCCATATCCAAGTGCTTTAAATATTTGACAGAACATGAAGAAAAGGAGGGTCTTACCTTTGATAGGGAAGATTGCTTCCTGGGCTCTGGTTCAAGTTTAATTTTAGAAATGTTTCTTGACCTTAGTATATAAAAAAGCAAATTATAAGGCCTGTAACGTCTTTGATCCTACACTTGCTTGCAGAGTTTTAGTAGGACTCTGAGCAGAGCTCTTTTTGCATCATTAGAAACTGTTAGCAGTGTTGCTTTCTTTATCAGAGCAATGCATGTTGTAGTAGATCTATTAGAGTCTATATTTTGTGGCTTCAGCAAGTGGTCTCATTTGACAGACTGTGAAGAGAAGGGTCTGTCCTCATTGCACTTATAGTTTCAATGCAAAGTTCACTGCATCTTCAAGGTGCAAGTTTGTAGTATTTATTGGCCACTGGCAGAATTCATTGTTCGGTGTATAGAGGACTTGTGCCTATGATATTGAGAAGTGGGATAATCTTTGCTGAATTAGGTTAATGCTAATCCGCAGACCCAAAAATTAACATGTGGGAGGAAAAAATGTAAGATGAGCAAAAAAGATTAAAGAAATTGCTAGTTCTTGGTAGGCTTAGTTTGGAATATTCTTACTGATTTCTGAGACTCAAAACTAATGAGTTGCTGATTTTCATTCAGCTGGTATGACATTGAGGGAGTGTGACTTGGCACATTGTTTATAAAGTGTTCTGATACTCTTGAAGGAAAATGTTTATATACCTGTTATTAAAAATCTGTGTTTAATGATTCATGGATAGCAGATGGATGAATGAATTTCTTCTTTTGAAGTTCTGGTCTATGCACTAAGTCAGGATTTATTTCCCTGGGGATTTTGTCTGCTTTTTTTGTTGGTGGGTTGCTTGGGTTTGGTTTTCTTTTTCTTTTTTTTTTTTTTTGTGGTTTTTTTTTTGGTTTTTTTTTGGCTTTACTTGTGAAATGCTCACTCTTTCTCTTTTTCACTGAAGAACACACACAGCTGTTAAAATTGCCCCACGGTATAGCGCACCTGTGGTTCACGTCCTGGATGCATCCAAGAGTGTTGTGGTTGTAAGTTCTAAATTCTAGTTTCTTGTCCATGCAAAGATATGTGCCCTGTTTTTCTGTTGTCCCTTTCATCCTTTCCTCTAAGGCTTAGTGTTGTGGCAGAAAATTAAAAGGGCCACATCAGAGACAAGTTTCTAAATTACACTTGTTTCAGCTGTTTTGTGCTGTCACATGGTTCTCAACTGGCTTGTGACAGTTATTGTCACTGGGCACTTTCATTTAAATGTCCATTATTCTAGTGAGGGTGACATTCACTGAACTGATGGAGTTCTATGTGTACTGCTGTTCTGGCTAATTTAAATATATTTCTGAAGTTAGATAGCAACATTCGTACTGAGAAACATGTGGCTAGAGTTTTTTGGGATGGATTCTCTTTCAGAGAAATGGGTGGCCTTAACTGACAAATACATGGTGGTAAAGAGTAGGCTAAGCTGTGTGTTGCCTCTGTGACTATTCAGTCTCTGAAGTTTTGGAGTATTCTCCTCTCAGGTCTTTACAGACCTAGACTTGGCTCTGCTAATGTTACCTGTGTAGTAGGGCAGAGATCTCAGTAATAATTGTAGTCTAAACATGGTTAGTTTGAATAGTTTGAATGGAGGTTGCAGATTAATGGTAAGGTTTAGTTTAGTGTTGCCAAGAGAGTCCCAAAGACAGGTTGCCTAGTCTGAAACATACTCTGTCTTTCCTGTAGTGTGTTACAGTAGGTACTTAGTGCTTTTTCCTTCCTGTTCTTTTCAGTGCTCCCAGCTCTTAGATGACAGTATGAAGGATGATTTCTTTGAAGAAATATTAGAGGAATATGAAGAAATTAGACAAGAACACTATGAGTCTCTCAAGGTACAAATATAATTGATTATCTTCTTGTTTGAAGTGGTTGGCACTTGCTGTTCAGTTATTCATAACTTACTGTTACTCTTTACTGTTCAGCTCCTTGTGAAGACCTTCAGATATATTTGTTTTGATTTAAAACTTGTAGTAAAATGGATTTAAAACTTCCAGAAGTGCTTATGAAATCAAATTTTCTAGCCTATAAGACTTTGCTATGTGACTCTTAACACATGCTTGGCAAATTCTTGGTTGTCCTCAATGGCTAATCAGTGGTATCCAGGACCTCCATGGAGCTGGCAGTCATGTCATCTTAATCAACCTTGGGAGACCAGTGCTCTCCTGGAGCAGTAGCAGGATATGTGGAGCTTCAGCTGAGGTGGTGAACATGGTACTGGTAGCTTTTGCTGGTTCTGAGCCGCACTCAGTGAGAATTTTAAACCACCATGCTTTCCTGATGTCTTAGTCTTGTTTAGGTGAGTGATCAGAGCAGTAGAAGAATATCTTTCTCTGCTTGTATTTTAGTGTATTGTAAAGCAATAAAAGAACTTCTGGTATAATTGAGAGGAACCAGAAATCTTGTAGGCCAGCTTCATTGGCGTTATACAGGCAAAAATAATGATCTGCTTGTGATGTAATCTTAGTTTACTCATGGGAACTCAGAGTTGTTGAGACTGAAATTATCTGTTGTTAGATTTATCCTGAAGAGTATTTTGGGTAAAATTCTACCATGAAGTCTGCAGTTACAGTTTGAGTCTGAAAGGTGGTGTTCTGAAATTAACCTTTATGTCTGTATAGGAAAGAAGATACTTGTCTCTGCAGCAAGCGAGAAGAAAAGGTTTCCATAATGATTGGTTATCAGGCCATGTACCAGGTCAGCTATCTGTTGTTGTTTGTGATTGCTGTGCCTTTATTGTATTTTGTATGTTTATTTTAGATATATTTTTTGTTAAAATATGCTTTAAACTTCAGAATGTAGCGGTGTAACAGCCTAAGTAAATTGGTATCTGTCTCAACTGAGATTTTTTTGCATTACTTTTAACATTGTTTCTGCTTTTTTACAGCTCATTTAAAAAATAAATTAATATTCAATAAATGTAACTGAAAAAATTCCCAAAACAATGAGTTACCCATCACAACATATAATCAAAGAAAACACTAATGACAGCTTTTGAAAATACTGTCTGCCTGGCTCATTACCTTGTACACCTTACAGTACCATATTTGGAGAACACATGCTGTAACATAGCATTTTAATCAAATTCCTCCTTACACTCTTTCCTACCCTTCCCCCATCAATTTTTGTACTGTTTTATTTTTTTAAAATTATACTAGAAGTATAAACAGCATTCAGGTTGCATCCTGCAGTGACATTAATGATGCTTTCTGTTGTTTCATTTACAAGATTCAACAAGATGCTAATTTTCAATAGCTTGTCTTAATGTGTGACAAAGTATTGTACAGACGAAACAAGTGCAGAGCTTCTGGCTTTACACAGATGCATCCGTCTTGCTTTATCACTTGTGTGTGTGCATTTAAACGTGCAAAAGTTCTTAGAAATTACATAAGAATTTACAGAAATATTCTGCGGTGTCATAGTACATGTCTGTGTATAGAAAGGAATTGGTAAATGTGGAAGGCCCATGAAGTATGTTAGGGATTGATAAGTTGTGTAAGTTTGTTTGGTCTTGTGTCTTGGCCAATATTCTGACCAATTAAATAAGTTCCAAAGTCCAGTAGCTAAAAGCTGTTTATTTACGTGGAAGAACAAAAGGCCTTAATTTTTCCATTTCAACTTTATATGCCTTTTATGCTTTTTTTTTTGGTTACATTGTAACTGTGGATTATGGTATGACTTGGGAAAATATGACTGTGAGAATTTTAGGACAGTCAGTTTGGAAGAGGTCATTTGCAGGGGTGGAAGCTGTTGACCATCAGTTATACTGCAAATGTTAAAGCAATTTTAAATTATTTTCATCATGTCCAATTGTACTTCTGATTTCTACAGTTAAACCAAAATTCATTGGCACAAAAGTCTTTGAAGATTATGACCTCAGGAGGCTGGTAGAGTACATTGACTGGAAGCCCTTCTTCGACGTCTGGCAACTTAGGGGAAAGTATCCCAACCGGAGTTTCCCTAAGATCTTTAATGATAAAACTGTAGGTGAGTACTGAAATTTCATTTACTTCATATAACAAATCCTAACAGGCCCTATGTGCTGCAGTAAAATTCCAAATGTTTAATGAAATACATTAGGAATAGTACAAATACATGCAAAGAATGTCACTGAAATAATTTGTTCAAAGCAAGGCTTAGTGAGCCAACTGTTGCCATGTGAGGCTGGAAAATAAGTGTGGAAAAATGCTCAGTCATCTTACTTAGCATTCACCTGCCAAAGCACAGGGAAGTATTTTATTAACAGAAAATGGCAGCAGAGCACTTAATGTATCTGTGGGTGAAGATGGCAAGCTCCTTTTGAAGCTATTCAGTAGGCTTTGAAATAGGTGATAAAAATGCAAGGGTGACACTGACAGCAATGTTCTGGGTCTGCTGCACTGTGGTAATGTTGGTACATGCACCAGGTCTCTTGCTCATTTTATTCTCTGTTCTCTTCCTCTACTAGGTGCTGGCTGAAACATTTTGTTTGGGTTTTTTTATTCCCTAAGATATATGTTGTTACAGCCCTGTGGTCACACTGCAATCTTCTATTGCTGTAGCTGACAGATCATTGCAGTTATTGGACAATTATGTGGAAAATGACTCAATCTTCAAACAATTCTTAAATCTATTTAGCCAGCTATGAAAACATGCCTTTTCTAAGGCAATTTCATTGTTTATTTTGTTTTTAATAGGTGAGGAAGCAAAGAGAGTTTATAATGATGCTCAAGATCTATTGAAAACATTGATTAATGAAAAGAAATTGCAAGCCAGAGGTGTGGTTGGGTTCTGGCCAGCTCGAAGTGTTCAGGATGATATCCACTTGTATGCTGCAGAAGAGGCAGTGGGATCTTCAGAACCAATAGCAAAATTTTATGGTTTGAGGCAACAGGTACAGTAACAGCACATTTGTTAAGGGACTTTTCTTCCCCTTGAATTTCAGGAATGTAATAGAAGTGCCTTATTAAAATCTGTAGAAAATTGTTGTAATCTCTCTGCAGCCATTGCCTTGTCATTTCTTTCAATAATAACAAGATTCTGATAGTGATGAGCCAGGTCTTTGTATTGTAGTATTTTGCATTGTAATAATTGTACAAAATGCTTTGTAGGTTTGGCATCTTCAGATATGTTGTGCATTTTCTGTTTCAATTTTAAGATGTCCTAAAGCAGTATGTTGTATAAATTAATCACATGAATCTTGTTTCAAGATAAATCAGAACCTAATGAACCTTAGTTCTCTAATATCACTGGATTCTACTTTAGATGAAGAATGCTGCTTGAATGTGTTAATGTTTGAACCCAGTTAGAATTTAAGAAACTTGGAAAATAAAGCCCATTGGAGAGAAGTGTTTCTAATAGGCTTAATTTTTTTGTAAAATTCACTATATGAAGGGGCCATTTAGAATTATTTGGCAGCTAATTTTCATGGAGAGAATCATACTTACTTCAATTTGCACTTAATTTGCTAGATTGAGCTTGCAAGATATTCTGCCTCTCCTTTTTCCGACTTCTGATTTGGCTTCTTCATAGTTCACATATTCAGAGTCATCAAATGTGGCAGAAAAAGAGTTCAACTACCTGCATTTCTGGAGTGCAGTACTCTGTGAGCACAGTCGTGTGCCAACATTGCAGAACTGTGCTAAGAAATACCTGCCTCTGTTGCAGTTCCCTGAGATGGATCCAGTGCATCTCGACAGTCCATGGCAGATGTTTATATAAAGCGCTCTCAACAAGCACCAATGTTTCAGAGACTTATGACCTAGTTAAACATTTTGATATCCCATGTAAATCAGCTTTACTACTCTTTCCGTTCCTGACTTTTTCCCAGGATTTTCCCAAGGAAAATACCTGATTTGATGTTATTCTTGTAATGCTTTTTATTATTGGAATACAGTTCTTTTCCTTAGCTTTTATTACTTTGTATATCCCTGTTACTCAGGCTTCTCTCAAAGGTTAAGGTCATGAAACTCTGTGTATACTGTTCTTCTGGACTCCATGTATTTTAGTTGCATCTCTTCCAGCCTGGTGTATACAGTAACTCAGGAGAGTTCTCAGCAGAGCAAAGTAGAAGAGAATAATTGTCTTCTGTTTCTTATATAAAATGTTCCTTTCAGTACACAGAGTTCTCTCCATGACATTGATGCTAATTTAGGATGTGATATAAATCTAAAAGTTAGAGATGCATGTAATATTAGCCTTAGCTCTAATAATTGCAAATGAACCTTAAAGCTATTATAAATTTCACCTGTGGGGAAAAGGATATTTTGTTAATTTTATGGTACTTTCTGTAACTGTTCAGGTTAATAGATAAGTTTTCTTTGTTTTTCAGGGGTAGGAGTGTTTTATTTGCTTTTAAGATGCAGTTGGGAATGGGTGAAACACATTGCTAAAATATTGTCCTTGGTTAAAAAAATTATTCTTCAGCTAAGTGATAGCCATTAAATAACTTTACTCTCTCTGTAAGTTGGGTAGATTTACAAGAACTGTGCCACTTCTTTACAGCAATCATGCTTCCACAATGAATATACTGATATGATTCAAGATTTCTTTTTGGGTGCTCAGGTACCTCTTTCTGTTACCTTTCTTCCATTTTGGAAGAGGATCCAGTGAGCAGTATAATTCCCTATTTCACAGAATCAATTAGTTGGAAAAGACCTCTGAAATTGAGTCCAACCTGTGATTGAACAACCCCATGTCAGCTAGACTGTGGCACTGAGTGCCATGTTCAGTCGTCCCTCAAATACCTCTGGGGACAGTGACTCCACCACCTCCTTGGGCAGTCTATTCCAGTATCTGATCACACTTTCTGTGAAAAAATTCCTCCAAATGTCCAACTGAAAACTCTCCTAGCACAGATTAAGACTGTGTCGTCTTGTTCTGTCAGGTGTTACCAGGGAGAAGAGACCAGCCCCCACCTGGCTACAGCCTCTGTTCAGGTGTTGTAGAAAGCCATTAGGTCTCCCCTGAGCCCCATTTTCCCCAGTTCTCTCAGCCACTTCTCACAGGATGAGTGCTCCAGAGCCTATACCTGCTTCATTGCCCTTCTCTGGACTTGCTCCAGCTCCTCAGTGTTCTTCCTCAGTTGGGGATCCCAAAACTGAACACAGTATTCAAATGCAGCCTCACCCGTGGCAGGTACAGGGGAAGAATCACTTCCCTGGTCCTGCTGGCCATACTGTTCTAATGCAGGCCAGGGTGCCATTGGCCTTCTTGGACACCTGGGCACCCTGCTGGTTCCTCTTCAGCTGGATATTGACCAGCACCTCAAGGTCCTTTCCCTTGGGCCCCTTCCCTTTGCATTAAACCCACTCGAACTTTGCTTAGGGTCCAACTTTCCAGCAGTGATACATACATTTTGTTTCTGTTTGTGTGTGATTAGTAAAAAGTCTGCATCCTGGGCACTGTTTTGTCTGGATTACTGAGCACATAGTTTGTAGCATAAGGAGTGTTTATAAACTCATAGCCATTCTGCAGTGGGAGTTGCTGAAGAATTCTTCAGTTTGCACATCAGCCATCAGTTTTATTAACAAATGTGGAATCTGTAAGGGGTGAAGGTGAAATATTCCTCCTCTTACCCAGTTGTTGGCACAAGACTATTCCTTACTTTGTAATAATTTTTTTGCAGTATAAGCTGTTAAATCTTAGTAGCTGTAAATAGAAGCAAAATGTGCATTCAGTGCTGCATCTCTCTTCTTTGATGTTTTGTTCTTCAGTGATCCAAATATCCTCAGAGTAAGAGAGGTGGTTTTCTTCTAATTTAACTACAGAAAAACTACCATGGCTCAAAGACTAGTTAGGTGTTTGTCAGAAATACCCTAGGCCCTTTAGTCTAAAAAATACTGGTCTTTAGCTTAATACTGCACTAATGATTTATTTTAAAATGTTCTGATTTATCGCATTGACTTTGTTACTTTAGGCTGAAAAGGACTCTGCCTGCACAGATCCATATTACTGCCTCTCTGACTTCATAGCACCACTGGATTCTGGCATTTGTGACTACTTAGGCCTGTTTGCAGTGGCCTGCTTTGGTGTAGAGGATTTATGCAGTGAACTTAGGAAACAGGAGGATGAATACAACATCATAATGGTGAAGGCTCTTGGTGATCGGTTGGCAGAGGTATGAGGTTTTATCACGTGTTTCCTTCCAACTTTCAGCAAACTTAGAGCCACTTCAGTACAATGCAAGTGGGGCTAGCTCTAGCTGGGGATTTCAAGCTATAGCAGGGTTTCAGAAATTATTATTGTTGTTGTTGAAGATATTTACTGAAGTGGGAATTCTTTCTGAAGGGCAACTGGTGCTGGTAAATCACATAGGCTGCAGAAGCAGTTCAGAAAATCTGTTTCCCACTTTGAGCTAGAGGAAAAGTCCTCTGCTAAAAGGAGCAGCAGCACACACTTGTATCTGATTGTAGCATAGAGCAAGAATGATGTGGCCTTGCATAGCTAGATCTGGGCCAGACACCCGGATAATCAAGACCTAATGACCTCAGTGCTATAATGAAGTGTCGCTACCATAGGTTAATGTGTTTTGTCTTTTTGGGTTACTTGTCCACATCTTTACCTCTTTAAAGCAGGACAATCAAAAAAGCACATCTGCCAATAAGAGAAGTAACTAACGTACTTGAATTAGCGAAATAAGTGTTTCACGTGAACTTTAATTCTTTCAAATGTCTCACCTATATTAAGAGCTATCTTTAAAATGAAAATGGGAATGCAAGAAAGCATCTGTCATTGTTAATCAATCAGCTACTGCATCAGTCTGTACAAAGTAAAAAATAAAAAAAAATCTTTTCATTCTATTCCAAGGCATTTGCTGAGGAGCTTCATGAAAGAGTTCGAAGGGAATTCTGGGCTTACAGTAGTAGCGAGCAGCTGGATCTCTCTGGCCTACGCAAAATTAAATATGAGGGAATTCGCCCTGCCCCTGGATATCCCAGCCAGCCTGACCATACAGAAAAACTCACCATGTGGAAACTTGCAAACATTGAGGAAACAACAGGTAACTTTGCTTTGCTAAGATTCTTAAACAGCTTTTTATGTGAAATCAAAATTCCAACCAAAGAACAAATTGGCTGTTGCAGAATTACATAGAATACTAAACTGAAGTGCTTCTGGGAATTGCTGTCTTCCCCTTTTTATTCCCAATTTTATTTTGCCTCATTCAAGGAAGAATTTGCAAAACATTGCCAGTGCTTTTGGTGGAGGAGTTGTGTCCCTAATTAGCAGATTGCATGCAAACACGGTTCTGCTGCACAGAAAAAATTTCTGGCATCCTTATAGTGGTAAGATGGCATTCCAGATAGAAACAGAAAAAAAAGTCAATTCAGCAGAGTATTTCCTGGTCTGCAGGAATCTTGAGATGGTAATTTTTAAAAAGGGATTAAATCAATTTGTTTTCCTCTTACATTTTGCATGTCAGATGTTTCACTGTTACTTCCACAATTCCAAAAATAATTTTCAGTGCTCCAAAATGTCATTTGCCAAAATGTCCAAGTTTTTTCCTTCAAACCATAGAGTTACTCTACAGTAATTGTAATAAAAGTCTGTGGTATGTTTGAAGTTCTGAAGTTTTCTTAATGATTAACAAGTGAAAAAGGGAGTTGGTTTCAGCTTCCGTCTGAAAGCTGCTTGGTTTTTTTGAGTTTGCTTGAAGCCACACAACATAAATGAAGGCTCTGAATTTGTGCTTATTCTTAATTCAAAGAATAATAAAATCCTCATTCTCTTTTCCAGGAATTGGTCTAACAGAATCACTAGCAATGATACCTGCTTCTGCAGTTTCTGGCCTTTATTTTTCCAGTCCCAATTCCAAATATTTTGCTGTTGGCAAGATATGTAAAGATCAGGTAACTAACACCATCAATTGTAGTAGTGTCAGAGCATTCAAAATAATCTTATAAGCAGATGTCTTAAAAATTTTGTAAACATTTAAAGCTGGCGTTTCAAAATTTTCATCGTATTTTGTGATCCCTTTGCAGGTTGAAGATTATGCACTGAGAAAAAATTTGTCTGTGGCAGAGGTGGAGAAGTGGCTGGAACCCATTTTGGGATATGATACTGAACAACTGTGATATTTGTGGGTGAACTTCCTTTTTTGATGGTCTTGTTTGCCAGAAGGAACAAGAAGGTTCTTCCCACTGGAAACAGCTTTCTTCCATCCACCCCAGTAGCTTGTCTGATTGTCTTAAATTTTTAATCAAGGAACTTAATATTTCACATCAAGTCTGCCTGATGCCCTTGGCTTGGGACCATGAATGTATTTAGTTTCTCAGTCACAGCAGCATACTTTTATTTATTTTTATGTTTTCACAAAGACTCTGGCACAGAAAGTAGGTGAAGGGTGAGGTGGGGAAACTGCAAAGCTTTCCTTTTCTCTGGAAGATTTTGAAATCAGGGGCAAGAATTTCTCTCCCATGGCTGTGGTTATGCATAGAAACGAATTTGACTTCTGTTATTTTAGTGTGTTTTGGCGAGTCCAGGGACAGAAATATGATGCAATTCTTTTGCAAAGTCACAAAGTGTTTTATACGGAGTGATCAAGAACAACTGAAGTACAACAGATCTCCTTTTAAAAAATCATCTGCTCAGTGTTTAATCTCGTGCTTGGGAATACACATTCTTCTCAATGGTAGAACTATAAGAATAATACAGTCTTCTGGAGTAGTATCAGAGATCTGTATTGGGAAATGGGATGACAGAGCCCTTGGACTTGTCTTCTCTGTGCTTCCTCTTCCTTTCAGCAAGTCACAATCTGTCTATTCTGTATAAAGAGTACTGGCACTTCCTAACTTTCAGTTAATGTTGTCAAGCTTAATTCATACATAAACAATCATTTGTACATGAAAATTATGAGAGTAGCATATTTGCTACTGTAGACAGCTAGAAAGCTTGGAGCTGACTTTTACAAAATTTTAACCTTCCAGGAAACTGGATTTTAAAAGCAAATAGTACTGTCATATGTAACAGCTAATATTGTAGACTATTCTTCAGATTTAACTGACTGTGCTAATCGTTCATAGCTTTCAATAATTTCTGAAAAGTGTTTCAAGAATTATTTAAATGCTAATTTGTAAAATATTAGGACAGAACCCCCTCATTTTTTGGTCTCTAATTGTAAACAAAAGACCAATATTGTAAGGAAGATCTTTTAATAGTTTATTGCAGTCTATTAATAGCTACATAATTTTTGTAATGTCTTCATCTAACTTTATGCTGAAAGACTCATCTTGTATCAGCAGTTTAATAAAGATGGTGTTATCCTATTAAAATCCTTTAAATGGCAACAATAAAATGTGTGCAGTAATCTGAACAGATAATGTCAAAGTTAATATGTGCTTGTACCATGAACCTGAAATTATAGAGGCTGCTATGGGGTTTTTACAGTAGTTGCGTGTGTTCTTAACTGAATCTTTTAGAATGGCTCATCCTTTAATGACTTACAAAAATAATTTCTAAATGGATCTCCCCTCCCCCTGCCTCCCTCCATGTCAAGGGACTTGTCACAAGTCCTTGCTCAGCAGCTGATTTTTGTAGTGGGAACAGTTTCTCAGTAGAACACTCGTTTAGACTGCCAAAAATAAAGTAAAATGTTCTTAATATAAAAGATTATTTGTTCCTGAAATATGCAGCATATGAAAATTGCAGTCCTCTCTGCTGTGTTTTTGGTAATTGCACTTGTGCTGATCAATTTAATGCTTGGAATCTCTCCTCTCCGGCACTCTTCCATATACTTGCATTTGGAAGCAGACTACCTTATCAGTCTGAAAATTTGATTGTGTGAATGGGGTCAAAGTTTGACTTGCTCAGCTTGGTTTGTTTATTGATTTATTTTCCTGAAATCAGTGGCAGCCAGTTCAGTGAGTACAGCTGGCAGCAGGAGGTCCCTGCTGTCTAACAGTGGTGGTGTTACCTGGTGTACACGCAGAGGCTTTCAAATGGAGCATGGTTGCTTTAGCCCTTCACACATGGCATCACACACTGAGAAAATCTTCATGTTTGCCTGCAAAACTTGTCATTGGGAGAATCTGTTTGGAATAATTACTCCTTGTTATTATGCAAATGTTTTTATAAAAAACAATTACTTTAAAGCTTTGTTATTTTAAATTGTCAGTTGACATTGTGGGTAAGACAAATTTTCATTCTTGTCTCCAGAACTAAGTTAAATTGTGAAGCAAAAGTCTCATAATTGTACCAGGTAAGGCTGTTTTACTTGAAAGACAAGTTTAGAATGCATAAAATATTTTTGCAGTGCTTTTCTAAATACTGCTAACAAAGGTTCTAGATGTAAGAGATGATGGAAAATTTAGAATGCATTGTAAATTACTCTGGTTTAGTTCTTGTGAGTAATAGAGTTTGGATACTTTTTTTTTTTCCTTGTAAGTCAGGCCAGCAGCCTGGAGATTGAGTTTTGAGGCACATAAATTTTATGACTGTCAGGAAGGAATATTACCCTTAAACCTGCCCCTTCATTACCAGCTCTGTTTCAGTGCTGCTGTTACTCCTGGGAAGAATCTGGTGCAGCTTATTTTGTCAGGAGACTGCTATCAAGGTCAGTTCATGTCTCAAAAAAACCCCTAAAACTCACTTTTTGGGGTTTTTTTGCAAGTATTTCTGCATTTTTTTTGTGAAGCTTCTGCTTTCTTGTTTAACAGTGTGAAAGTTATACACTCTTTCAGTTAATTTCTGCTTCTTAAAACACAAGTCATGTCCAGAAAAGGAGGGGAATAGTGAGAGGCCTATGAGGGCCTTGCCTTTTCTAAAAGGATTTGTTTACTAGTAACTGTGACTGGGTTTCATTAATTTCACTTTTTAAATCCTTGTCTGGTTTACCTGAGCATGCCTTGAAAAAGTGGATTCAGGGTCTTAAAATGAAGACCAGGAAAATAAATCAGTCCATTAATTAGTTCAGGAGGGTGGTTCCCTTACAGAAACAATAGCACACGTTCTCAGTCCCTGGAGAAAGGGACTCAATTTATCATGGCCTTGTCACGGCAAAGCCTGTTCAGACCTGACACTAAGTTTTTTTCATTTGATTGTCAGGCTTCTGTAGGTGCCAGTTTTCAAATGGAGATGTGCTGTGAACAGAATGCAAACACTTCCACCCTGCTTTCACCCAGCATTTGTAACCTGTCCAGCTCAAGGCAGCCCTGAAAACCCAGTGGAGTTGGCCCCCATGTTTGTTCTAATAATACCAGCATGGCTGAATATCGCGAGTTTCTGACCATGCCATGTGCCTGACATAAATAGATGTGTAAAGGAGACCTCAGCTGAGATTACCAAACTTGGTGGTTTGGGTTTGTGATTCAGCTCCAGCCAGGATGGCAAAAGCAGGCTAATAATTATCCTTGCTGGCCTGAAGCTGCTGTGATGACTGTGGGATGAAAGGCGTTGTTTTCTTCCTCACTGCCCTGGTGTGTCCTGTGCCTACAGCTCCTGATCAGGCCAAGGGGAATGATCCCAGGCCAGGGTGGGGTGGTCTCTGCTGTTCCTTCCTACAGAAAGAGCACGAAGTATGTGGAGGGAGTTTGGAAACTCACACTGAACCCCTATTAGTTCTTAGCTCATGGTCTTTCCTCTCCCATCTTCGTGTCAAATTGGCCTCTTCTTCCTCCTTTTCCCTCCAGCAGTCCTCCTCTATAACTGCATGTCAGGGTGCTCTGTAGGTTCTGCCAAAATGAAGCTGTAGGAATCTTTAAAAAGTTTGTTTTATGTCTGAACAAGTTACTGTTTCAGAATGAGAGGATTTTTCATCGGCAAACATTGGATAATATTAATAAATGGTGCTGATAGCTCTGCCAATGGGAGCCTTATACTGTGTATGTCAGTCATTCCTAAAATACTAACGAGAAGGCCACACAATGGGATAAACTATTCCCTGTGTTTTAACTGCATATTTAGTTACATGGTGGTTTTCATCTAGATAGCAAAACCAAAATGTGTGTTAATTGCATCCTTTGTCAGTGTGCTGTTTTAAGCCCACAATTAATAATAAGCTGGTAGTAAAACGAAATAAAACTAATGTAATTTTCAACTGAAGTATTTTAATGGTATGGACTACTTAGAAGTAAAGAATTTATCCATGCATTGCTGTTATAACAAACGCTTTTAAAATTCTTTAGGCAGCTGATGACTTAAATATTTTATGAAGCAAAATTTATCTTGACTAAAAACTCAGGTTACAAAACACTTATAATTTGATTGAAAAGGCTTTATCACTGCTTTCTAGAAATAGCTGATAAAAATTATTTATGAGACTGGAAAGTTTGCTGCACTAGCTGCAGAAATTTCTATGCATGTACTACATATGACAAAAGAAGATAGAGTAGTGTGGGATTCACAGAGGGTAACTTAATTGCAGAAGAACAGGCAGTTCTTGGGAAGAACTGAAAGATTAAGTTATGGCGAATGTAAGTCTCTTACAACCAAGATATTCACAATATTAGTAATTGCAGTAAATGAAAAAAAGGGAAACATTTTGATGTACACATCAAAGTATAGGAAATGCAATTTGAGAATAATTTAAAAGGAGCTTTCCTCAATCTAATGCATACTTGGGATTGATGAGTTGTGTTTGCACGTTTAGAATGGGAGAAGGGGGAGGAAATAATAATTAGGTTGTGAACTTGTTCTGGTGTTAAGTAAGAAGCTGTTGAAAAAAAAGGATAGCCCATGTCACAACACCCCCCCATTTTGAAGTTGTTGGATTCATTACTTACATGATTGTTTCTGAACGGATTTTCAGTGACACTGGCATTCCTTGACTCTGGAAAAATATTGGGAGAAATGAAAATAAACTAACCAGTTTTTCCCACAGTTTTCAAAAGTTAAAACTCTGCATCAGCTCTGTAGCTGCACATAGGTAGGTGTCAGTGCAATTTTGATCCAAGAATTCCTTTGGTCTAGCAGATAAAATGACTCTGGATGTGTAGGTGTAATGGATTTTTTTTCCTTACTCAAGTTGTTGAAAAGATCAATTTTTCCTATTAGAGTGCAACTTTTAGGGCATGTGTTGTTCTTACTTTACTTCTTTATATACTTGATCTGTACTTGTTTCCCCTTCTCTGGCTTCACAATACAGATATGGAGATGTGACTGAAAGTTCTGTAATGGCCTGTGAATGCCATATGTTTGTGTTTTTAATTAAAAATACATGTTATTTTCAGGTTTTGTTGAATTTCATCAAGGTTCTTGCCAAGTAGCTTCTTCCCAGGAAGTGGACAACTTTATTCCCTTTGATCCGGCCATCAGTTGGAAATCTAGGTTGAGGTTCAGAAGTGGAGAGCAAATATGAGGTCTAGAAAAGGTGTCAGTTCTCTGTGGTTGGTGGACTCCTTCTGCACCTCTGTTCCTGCTGTGACCTTGTGAGAAGAGCTGTTTGTCTCTCTCTGTCGATTAGGGCGGCGGTGGGACACCAAGGCAGGGAGATGAAACGCTGCCCTGTACGGCCAAAGGACTTGTTTAGCAGACTGCCCTTTGCAGGTGCTTCAGTACAACGTGTGCTCCTGCCTGCCTGGTCAGGGCCTGTTTCCAGCTGCTGTCTCAAGCTTGTCTGTGCTGAGCTGCTTTGATTTCAGGAAGCTGCTACTCGTGAGATCTCCTGCTAAGCGCTGCGCGAGGCCCTCTCTGCATAATCGGTCATTTGCAATGGCTGGCTTCACAGTAATTATCTGCTGGTACAGTTTTGGCCTTGTTTAGTTTTTCTGTAACCAAATAGATGGCTTTCTTCAGAATACTAATGCAGAGCACATAAACACATTGTTTCTCTCTGGCCCATAAGATCAGATTTTACTATCACCACTTAACCTAACAACTTTACTCATGTGGTCAAGGACTTGCTACTTACGAAAGCATGACCTTGTTTGTGCTTTATTTAGGAAATAAATGTAAGCACTTGGGTTTATTGCTTTTATTTCTTCCAAATATTGTTTCTCACTTCTCAGGGCAGCTAAAGGAACAGAAGTTATTATAATACAGTTGTTATAATACCAGATATACACATGTGATAAGGACTACTAAAGCAAGACATTAAAAACATGATGTAGGAGTGTACAGGGAACTTACCAATTATTGTCTTGTCTCTAAAGATAAACATTAGCTGAAAATGCTGTAAGACAGGAGTCAGCAGTCAGCTGGGGGTACATGAAGATTTTAGACTTTCAAGTGTTGGATTAGCAGGATTTCATTAGGCATTACATTGTGTGCTTTGCCTCTTTGTGTCACTGTCTCCCTCAGCTGGAACCCGCTACTGCATACAGATTCCTAGTTATTCCACAAGAAGGGTTTGACATGGGTTTTGTTGGTTTTTTATGT